TTGAAGAATAAGGAGTCGGGTTTGTTGTTAAACTCTGCCTGGGTGCGAAAGCAAGGCACATCAGGTAACTCTACAGCCTGAAACTCGTACTCCTCTTCCTTCATGATGTCGTACATGATGCACAGAGAAGTCCTCTGTGTGTGTGTGTGCACAGGTACTTCTAAATAACAGCAACCTTGACCAGCCTACAGTCTATTTAACATGTTATGTGGTCGATGCAGGAGAAGTGGGAAGAGTCAACAAGTATTACGACACCCGCCCTTCTCTCTCTATTTTTCTATCCACACAATCAGACTTGTGAAACTGCTGGGATAAAGCTCTTGCAGCCATATGTAAGTACTCATATTATTCTGCTTATTATATTCACACCAACATGCTTGTTTTGAACTCACCAGTTGTGCTTTGGCGACTACTGTTCCTTCTGAAATAATGTGATATGTTGGTAGAAACTCCTCAGGATAAACTGTTGAACAGACAAAAATCACATTCAAAGAAATACAGGCATGAAAAGTCAGACAAAATACTCAAACTAAACCAATGCTTTTGACTTATCATCTATGTTTCTGGAATACAAAAAGGAAGTTTAAAATGTATTCCTATCTTTTGTGTTAATATCATGTCTCAATGTATTCAATCACTGCTCTCGTGTCCAACATGAGTTTGGCTGCAGATTCATGAAGTTCTAATCATGAAGAAAAATTAATAAAAGGTACCATGTGTGATCTTAAGAATTAAACTTCCACAAGTATCAAATCATTGTTTTGTTGTGTAACAACGTACCAACACGTTTTTTTTTCAGTTTGTTGCAAAAAAAAAAACAGAATAAAAAACAAACTGAGTTCAGAGGAGGTTTGTTTGTTGTCAGTGTGAGCCACCTGTAAACAGTTTAACCACCTGAGGGGATGAATCAGAAAAAAAGCTTTTGTGTTTTGTAAGATTTGTTTATTTGTTTTTTTTTTGTTTATTTGTTGTTGTTTTGTTTATTTGTTAGGACCCCCCATTAGCTGTTCCTGAGAGCTCAGCTAGCCTTCCTGGGATCCACATTAAAAAAACATTAACAGGAATATCAAATATATTGAAAACAGACTTAAGCACTTTAGAGGGAGAGAGAAAAATATTTTACACAAATCATTACACGAATCAAATTTAGTTGGATAAAGCTACAGTTTGCAAACTGAAAGCTGCTAAAACAATCACATTTATTTTCCCCGACCGTTCTGTTCAGTACGTTCAGTACACAAATCACTCACTGACTGTCTGACTGAGAGGAAGAGAGAGACTTGGAGGCGGAGCTGTCGTTCAGTTCGTTCACTGAACGACAGCTCCGCTCCTCCTCTCAGTTCGTTCAGTGATTCACGTCGGAGCTCTCGTTCAGTGAACTGTTCAGTCTCGTTCAGTCGGAGCTGTTCGTTCAGTGAACGTGAACGAGCGAGACTGCGAGTCACCACGCACGCACGCACACGCACGCGCACACACACACACACACACACACACTGTCCTGACTGAAACACGATCGTTAGTAGATGTTAAAACAGTCAGCTGAGTGAAATTAAGTTGGATATAAAAGCCGTTTGTAAACTGACAGCAGATATAAAAAGCACATACATTTTCGCGACACCTAAATGTTAAATAATATATTTTCTACTTCCTCAATTTTGGAGACATGAAAAGGGAGAAGTAGGGGCGGGCTTTAGCGACACAGAGCTCCCGACCGACTCCGTCCTGTTGGTTCAGTCAGTATGTATCACTGACATGAAAGGAGAGGGAGGGCGGGCTTTGAGCGACTCTTACGGTCTAGACTTCAGAGAGAGACGGGAGAGAGGAGAGCGCAAATGAAGTTGAGAAATGAACGACTCTTTTAAGTAAGTGATTCAGTTCAGTTCGTTCACCCAGATGATTCGTTCGTTTTGAACGAATCGTTCATGACCGACACATCACTAACCAGGATGGTGTGCCACTAGCCTAGCAGTTAGTGGACGCGCCCCATGTGTCCTAGAGAGCGGGTGGCACGGCTTCAAATACAACCTGTGGCTCTTTTGTGGTGCTTAAAATAAAGGCATAAAAAAGCCCTAAAAATAAATCTAAAAAAAAAACTGACCGGGATAACAATGATGCTGTGCTACAAACAGCACTTTACCCTACCGTTACATGTTTGTCTTACCAAACCCTGTTCTGCTTGTGTTTCCCCATCTGCAGGGATTCACTCCACTGTCAGTGGAAAGCCTCTTTCCATATAAAGATCCAAGACAAAACTAACAGAAGACAGATGTTGTTTTCCAAACACTGCCCTTAGTAACATGCTGGGAAACTTCCCTGTGGAATCACTCTTTAAATACTCCAATAATGTTTCTATGGCAGACCCAGCAGGCCTTAAAGTCTACACTTTAAGAAAGGCTGTTAAGACGTGCCGTTATACTAATAACAAATGAGCCGCTAATCCTTAATGACTGTTCCTTGAGGCTATTCTTTTCTTGATACAGACTTATGAGCAATTTGTTGCATCTGAACAGACACGCTTTTAGATATCTTCTCTCGCTTCTTATAACTGGAGTACAAAAAAAGGTGACAGTCATACCCAGATTTTCATTTTATCACCATTTCACAACTTTGGTCTGCAAAAAAAACTGCAATGTTCACATGAGCTACTCATTAAACCCAACAGAAACAACAAATACAAATCCTCTTTAGAGTGAGTCATTATGTGATTCTTTAGAAAAGCATGTTGAGTCTATGCCCACAAGCTGTCTGCAATGAAAATCTACATTCTTACCACAACACACCCACCCAACTTCCTCTCTAGAGATCACTCTCCATAACAACACAAGTAGAAATAAAAGCAGAGCAGACCAGCAGAAGAAAGCATTATTCTTTTAATGGAAACAGCTGTGACAAACAGGACTTATTTTTCTTGTTAAATGCAGAATGCATTGCACCCTTTTGTAGTTGATCTAATCTCACAATGCTACTCCCATGTGGCATCAGTCAAAAAAATTGACTTCCTGTATCAGAACAGTGTGCGAGCTGCACTCTATTAAACTGAAATAAAGAAATGATCGTCTGAGTCAATCTGTGTTTATCAAACATTATTTCTGCTTCAAGTGAAGATGAATCATTTATTACAATAAAAACAGGTTCCATTTAATAGAGTGCACTTGAGCATGCCTTGTTGTGATATAGTGTGAAAAGTATTGGTCGTTTTAATAGAGATAGGAGGAGCTGTGATTAAATCATACACTTATAATTGACCAGACAATAACTCATGGTGGACAAGACCATAAATACAAGTATGTGAGTTAATATCTGTAAAAACACATCAACATAATGTACTGTGGCTATTTTTTACTGTACTCTAAAGTTAACTAGTGGTTTCAGTTTGAAGCTTCAGGAATGTGAAAAATGCAAAACAACAATAATAAAGAGTGTGGAAAGATGAGATCAGTTCAAGTCTCTATTGTTGAAGCCTGTATAGGAGCCACACCAGACACCTAAGAGATTTAGCTTCAACGTAAAGTTACCAAACACCTGTGATTTTATATTTATACTGGTGTGTGCTTGATCCCTCTTGAATAAGTGTGTGCCACACCCCCAGTGGAGTTCAGTTTTTCTGCTCCACATGCCCCCATGTGCATGATCTGAATGTCAAAGCCATTTTTTTTTACTTTGGTCTGTATTAGTTTTAACACTTTAAAGTCTGCAGCACAAATCATGTTTCATGACGTCAGAAATGTTTGAGCTAAGTAAACTCATTTTGATGTCATCAATAAGACACCAGAAGAATCAGACCATGTTATTAAAGTCAGTTAGAGAAAATATACTCAAGTTAGGTGCATGTACCTCAAAATTGCACTCAATGAACTTGATTGTGGAAAACATATTTAAAACTACTTTAACATCGATGTCAAAGGATAAATAAAGAAGTGCATCTGTGAAAGTATCACTGTTAAAAATCTGTGAAGGGTAACATGTGTTGCAGCTTAATTTTTCAACAGATGACTTGACCCCTTTATTTAAAGTCTCAAGTTTACGGTTGGTTTTCCGAAATAGTAATAATGAAGTCCAGACAGTGTCAATGAGGCCACACATTAAGCTACACAAGATACACAAGATAACAATACAGGCAGATCTCTTACCTACTTCCTCCTCTATCATGCCCAATTCAATTTCACCCTCCATCTCTTCTGTCTCCGTCATGGAGTCCATCTCATAGATGTCGTTTGCGCTCATCGTGGGTTCAAGTCACATCAATGAAAGAAGAAAAGGTTATGATATCCTGAAACACTGCTATGTGTTACAGTATCTGTAATACACATCTTCCACGCATTCTCTCTGAATTTCTCAATGTTGAAGTCGCATGAAGTTTTGTTCAAGTTGAGACTTGAGAGAAATCAAAAGGGTGGGGTCGAAGGAGGAGGAGGAGGGGGCGGCTGTAGATGTTGTGACACATCAAGTAACGCCCACTTTTCATTCTCAAAACTTGGGTAGCCTACCGAGCGCCTAACGTCCTGTTGAATTAATTGAAAAAGTGCATATTGTTCGGTATAAAAACCGAACAACAAACAATTATAATATTTACTTTTATGTTTTGGTATTCGGGTCAACATTCACAATTTGATGCTGCGGAAATTTGGGAGAAAGGAACTGCTGCTTGATTTTAATCTGCTGGTCGGAACTTCACTCCTACGTCGTCTTCTCTCTTTTCATGGAGCTAGTGAGAGATGTATATGACATATTTCAACAAACTTCTTCGACCTGTCCCTGCAGAGATGAAAAGCACATCCAAGCTTACCGCTCCACCACAGGCAAACATTCTGTCATCCTAAACAGACAACAAGTCCGTTATTATCTTTAAAGTTTCAACCTGTTTTGTTGAAAGTGTAAGAAATTAATGTTTTAACCGTATGTCGATCGCCATTTGGCCTTCTTATAAAAGAATAATAACATTATAGGATGCGAGTTAGACTCTTTGAGACTAGGAACCATGTTAAAGGTTTGGGTAATCCGGGGATGAAATCGGTGACGGACCACCCCTGGACATATTTCCGCCAATAACAAACCTGCTAGGTTCCGAAACCGTTCACTGTATTGTTTGGACAAGCTATGCGAAGTGCGTAGAAATGTTCCGTTAATGGTCGTTTTTAAGTGAAATGGATTGAGGTCGTTGCACTTTGTTTGGCATTAATGTCAAAACGGGAAAAATGTGTTTTTAATAACGTAAATCAGCAAACAAATGATTCTGACTAGTGTTAGCAAAAAAGGCTAACGCTGTGTTCAGTGACATGCTCCTTTAGCATGCAGTCATGTTAGCTTGCTAACGATTAGGGACTGGTACTGTTGCTGACCGTGTCTCCCGCTTGGTCGTGACACGGTCCGTTTATTCGACAAAAAAAATATCGAAAGAGAGCAACCACGGTTACAACCTGTTCATTTCCTGACCGGGAAGCATTCAGCTGAACAAATACCGTCAAGGTGAGTTCACTGACCAGAAATGTTGAACACTGCATTTTATGTTTACCTATAAAGGCTTTTCAGACCCCTCACCCATAACCACGACAAAATAACTGTAACACCGCAAATATTATATTTGTTGTGGTTTAAACTTAAAGGTTAAGATATTTTAGCATGAAGAGTGCTATTAGCATTTGTACAATGTTCCTGTGCTAATTGTAACGCTAATAGGACTGCTGCCAAACGAACACCTTCTCTACAACGCACTGTAACACAGGCTTTGGTTTTGTTCTGTTACATCGATGTTTTGTGTATTTTTATGGATTGCTAACCTTAATCAAGGCTGTATTTTTAACATTTTTATTGTACTTCAAGAAATTGTTGGGAAGAATAGTGATTTGTTGCTGATCATGTGTCTAAATAAGCCCATTAAATATGAGTCATGTTAATGACAAGACACAAAAATAAAATGAATCAGTCATTTATTTTCAACTTTAAAGAATCAATATTTACACAAGGACTAGTAAAAAACAATATTCCCTCATTAGAACAGATGATTTGAGCTCGGTGAGGAATAGTAATGTGTATAGCAAATGAAACAACACATTATAAAGGAGGAATGTTCCCAGAGTGTGAACATCAGTGTATTCTTAATTTTCCTTTCAAATCAGCAGTTCAACAGATCTGCAAAATGAAGATGTTCTCAGTGGCTCACAAGACTGTCTTTGTGGTGGACCACTGCCCCTACATGGCAGAGTCAAGTCGTCAGCAGGTGGAGTGTGACGTGCTGACAAAGAGTCGAGGTCATGGTGTCATTCCCTTGGCTCCTGTGTCCAAGTCCCTGTGGACTTGTGCTGTGGAGTGCTCCATGGAGTACTGCCGCATCCTCTACGATATTTATCCGAAGGACAAGCTGGTAAGCTTCCTTTTTTTGTTTGAACAAAACTTGTTTACGTGGAACTACAGGAGAGCGCATTTAGAGGCATTGTAAAACAGAGTGTAGCATTTAAAGGGGGGTGGTATTAAAATGTGCGCAGAAAGTAAATTTTCTTTTAGTTTAAGTGCAGCAATGATGTCGACACCACCTTTAACGTCTTCTGCTGTCTTTTCTTTTTTTGTACAGATTAATTACGTTGTGAGTGATTCAGAGTTCCACATCTTGAATAGCTGGAGACAGGAAGACCAAAGCACTCATGAGGTAATCCACTGCGTCTAAAAACTCAGTCAAAGTGTTGTCAGCTTCTACTACCTGCAACATTTCCATTAAACAACCAGCACCCACATAGTTGCAGAAGTCTGGCTCAGAACTGGACTTACAATATGTTTCTGCATCTCCTCCTCCTCCTTTCTGGCAGCTCATGTCAGCTCTGGCAGCCGTCGGGCCACCTAACCCACGCGAAGACCCCGAGTGTTGCAGCATCCTTCATGGGCTTGTCTCGGCAGTGGAATCTTTATGCAAGATCACAGAGCTGCAGCACGAGCGGCGCACCAATCTCATGGACACTGCAGAGAGAGTTGCAAATAGAGGCCGCATTATCTGCCTCACCAATGCTAAAAGGTAAACACTGTTATCAACATGGCAGACCTCAGTCATCAGCCAGATGTTTCTAGATTCTAAAAGTTTTTACAAAAATGTTCTTTAAAAAACTTCATTATGATGTATTCCAACACTTCCAGAGCCTCACATATTAAAATAGAGTAGAAAGAAAATATTCAAAGGACTGTAGTTTGAACTAAACTAGCCTCATGGTCACATTCTTTGCAAAAGAAGCTCTTGGTGTATGACTTTATATAAGACCGTGTTAATGCAGCACTCTTTTTTCTCTTTTTTTTGTCATACAGCGATACTCACGTGCGCATGTTGGAAGACTGCATCCAGGAAACAATATTAGAACAAAACAAGCTAGCAGCCGGCTCGGACAGGTCAGTGTTCACTTTCAATGTAGTTTTTAATTTGATTAAAATATTTGAAATTGCCGAACGCTTTTATTAATTTGGAATGTTATATAACTTTTGAATCATTGGATTTTTTTTTCTTGTCTTTACCTTACTGGTGCATATTTCTAGGCTGATGGCCATCCAGCAGTGCGACCTTGTTCTTATTCACATTCACCCACAGGGGGAGGACACACTGGTGTCTGACCGACCCAAGAAAGAGGTGTGTGCTAAAGAGGAGAAGAAAACACGTATTGTAGGAATCCCTTCATTGGTTATTGAAACCGAAAGAAAGATCATAAATTATTGCTAAATCTACCAGATCCTGAATGAAACACTTCAGTTGTCACTAGTAATTACATCCTCCTCTCTTGTTGTGCCAGATCTCCCCTCTACTCACCAGCGAGGTTCACAGCGTCCGTGCAGGGCGCCACCTCGCCACCAAACTCAACATTCTGGTCCAGCAGCACTTTGACTTGGCCTCCACCACCATCACAAACATCCCCATGAAGGTAAGGGGGCACTCACACTCACCCTGGCTTGCAAATGCGTCGTCAAAAAATTAGAAACCACAAACTTTAATTTTCTTAGCACATAAATGTTATCATGGTATTATGCTCTCATACTTTTTGACTTTATTCTTTTGTTTCTATTTTCTCTCTCACAGCCTTCACCTTTTTTTTATGCTTGCTTAATCTTAATGTAACAAGCCCCTTTTATCACATTTTCTTTCTTCACATTCTCACCTTTTATTGCTCTTATTTATTTATGTCATCTGCATGTTGATATGACTGTGAATCTGCTGCTGGTTTCATGCTGTATTTTCTGTTTTGCTAGCCCACATTAAATGTTTGCGACCAGGTTAGTACTCTTGTCACACACACATCAAAGTGAGGAAGGGTCAGAGTTTACATCACATAGTGTGCAGTATATGTGTTTTGAGCTCTGCTGTTGCAACAGGCTTACACTTGCCATTCATCCATTTTGAATGTAAGAGGTGGGTCAACAGCTCTACCTGTGAGGATCAAGTTAAGGACAGGCAACTCTGGTCTCATATGGACAAAAAAATGTACATGTACAAAATCTACATGAACTAAGTATTTGTTTGATTGTCCATTAACTCATGTTTTCAGTTTTAAGGTGTTTCTGCCACATTCTGACTTTAAAAATATAAATGCAGCTGTTTTTGATATGGAAACATCTGTGACCAGCGTTGCCTCTTCTGCGTTATTAAATTCTGTCAGTGTCTGTTAGGTGTTAAAAGTTGTCCAATCTTTCCCTGGTCTCTGTTTTGCCCCATCAGTTCCCCACGCATTCCCCCTTTCTAGAGTTTCTGTGTGTTCCATTGTGCTGTCTGGATAACTAGACTTGACCCTTAAATGTTGAACATACTTCTTCCTTTAACTGTTCAAGTGTAGAAAGCTTGTCATCAAAACATTTTTTTTGTGAGATTAGAAATTGCCAGACCCCAAATTTGTAAGATCGAATCCTTGATTTGTCAAACAATGGAAGGCGGAGTTTTGACATCTGTGCAAAGTATTGATCTGTAATTTGGAAATATGAAACATATTTGAGTCACCCAGAGAGCCGATCTGTTTTTGTTTTCCCTTTACATCGTCCATTCTCATTTGGAACATGAAATCAGCAGTGTTAATGTGTGTACGAGTCCAAACATTATGAAGAGCCGATTTCACACTGACCTGTGTTTTCTAACTGTTTGTGCGGATGTACAGGAAGAGCAGCACGCCAACACATCAGCCAATTACGATGTTGAGCTCCTGCATCACAGAGACGCTCACCTGGAGTTCTTTAAAAGCGGTGGGTTCCCGGTTACCTCATTCAGGTTTTTCTCTTTGAAAAGAAGAATTATCATTTTCAAGGTAGCTTTCATTGTCTAAATTATAAGCAGTGACACAAAGGCTCAGTGACGTTATGGATACGTTAATGTGTGCTAAATATAGTTTTTTTATTTAATTCATGAGTCATCTTTCAAAATGAACACCTCTGATTTCTTTGTCTTGTGCAGGAGACTTGCATATGGCCGGTAGCAGCACTCGGGAAAATGGACTCAAAGAGACAATTACACTAAAATGGTGCACTCCGAGGACCAACAGCATAGGTGGGCAGAGTCAGCGGGAAAAATGTTGTTGTTTTACTTTTTGAGGAATTCAAGATTTGAAAGAAAAAAAGGATTTTTAAAAAAAATATATATATAACAAATGCCCAGTTAGCTTAAATTTGAAAAGCAAATCGTATTTATTCAAATACAATGTCAGGATCCGCCTTGATTTCTGTGTAAATGACTTTGTTTTTATGTAGAATTGTTTGCAAGTTATGAAACTGCTAACATGTATCTTGCTGATACTTTTGAAATAGTGCTGCAACAAAATTTTACAGATATTTGTCTACTGACAATTGTTTTAACCCTAACCATCATGTTTGGAAAAGAAAAGCTTGAAATCCTAGAAGTTCGTTTGCACAACCCATGGACAGAGGCTGTTGTCCTTAAAGCGGACCGCCCAGGTTCAGGTGCAGTCTTTAGCTCCTTTCCTGTATGTCATTCCCCACTCTCTCTCTTTCTCTCCCTGGTTTCCAACTCGATCCACTGACCGATCTAAAAAAGAGCAGAATAAATCGTAGAGGGAAATAAAGAATTCAATCCTGATGTGTGAAAAACTGAGAGCAGCCCATTGTCTGCCTTTTGTTTGACGTGATATTGTAACCTGAGATTTTGTATTTATTTGAGATTTTTTCTTCCCCCACAGAATTGCATTACTGTACAGGGGCCTATCGCATCTCCCCCACTGATGTTAACAGTCGTCCCTCGTCATGTTTGACAAACTTTCTTCTCAACGGTAATCTTGATCAGGCCTCTCTTTTTTTTCTGCCTGAAGTTTACAGTTTCCTTTTCCTGAATTGATCTACAAACTCCTTGTTTGGCTTGTTGGTTAACACCTTCTCTTCCTGATCGGCCACAGGTCGATCAGTGCTCCTGGAGCAGCCGAGGAAATCTGGATCCAAGGTCATCAGCCACATGCTTAGCAGCCATGGAGGCGAGATCTTCCTGCATGTTCTGAACAGTAATCGCTCCACCCTGGAGGACCCGCCCTCTATCAGCGAGGGCTGCGGTGGACGAGTGACAGATTATCGCATCACTGTACGTTGAGCTCGCTGCCAACTAGGTGACTGTCTACGTAAATGTTCCACAAATAATCAGTGCTTTTGTCTGTTTCAGGACTTTGGTGAATTCATGAGGGAAAACCGGCTCACTCCTGTTTCAGAGTCTTTCCATGATCCTTCTGGGAAATTGCCAGTTGAGAGGGCGAAAGCCCAGCTGGAGCGCTACACTCGATACTGGCCTATGATCATCTCCCAGACCACCATCTTCAACATGCAGGCCGTGAGCAGCATGCAGAGACACTTTTGAACTTCAGCTGTTATTCATATGAAGCGTCCATCAACATGTGGTGTCTTTCTGTTTTCCTCCACTAGGTGGTTCCTTTAGCTAACCTGATAGTGAAGGAGACTTTATCTGAGGAAGACGTTCTGACCTGCCAGAAGACCGTTTACAACCTGGTAGACATGGAAAGAAAGAACGATCCTCTTCCTATTTCCACCGTCGGATCCAGGGGCAAAGGACCCAAGAGGTATTTATATAGACATCTTCTTTCTTTGCAGCAGATATGAGACAAATCATCACAAATTCACAGAGTTACTGAAGTTTCTGCATTGGTGTAATCTCCAGAGACGAGCAGTACCGCATCATGTGGAACGAGCTGGAAACATTAGTCAAAACTCACTCCGGAGCCACTGACAGACACCAGCGCGTGCTGGACTGCATCATCGCCTGCCGCAGCAAACCCCCCGAGGAGGAGGAGAGAAAGAAAAGAGGCAGGAAGAGGGAGGAGAGGGAAGACAAGACAGAGAAAAACGGCAGCAAGGACACAGAGGACAAAAGCTGGCAGGACACGGAGAGGTCAGTGCTGCTTAAATCCATCTTTCTATCTGTTCTTCAACTTTCCATCCTCTGAAGCCGAACCGTCTAATTTGTTCTTTTTAACTTGCAGACTAAAGGGGTTGCTGGAGGAGGATCAGGGGTCTGAGGTGATCAAGGATTCACCAGATTCTCCTGAGCCGGCCATTAAAAAGCCGCGCCTGTCCACAGAAGACGTTCCACTTCCAGAGAGAGCAAAAGGTACAAACACAGAATACAAACGGACCAAAAGAAGTAAAGACCAAGTGTTTGAGAAACTGCAAACCACTGCTTACTGTATTCTTGCTGCAGGTTTTCTGTTTCTTATTTTGTTAATACTTTGTTGTCAAACTGCACAGATTGAGGCACGGGGTATAAATCTGAATTAAAGCTACTTAACCTGAAGTCATATTAAGTAATATCTATGATCTGTAATTATTAACATTTATTTATTTACAAGGCCTTTTTTCTGTACTTTCTTACAAAATCGAACAATAATTCTTCCAAAAACAAAAACATGTTGAAAGCAGTGGTAGATATTTGTACATATATTTATTAGAGCTTTCTCCTGGGAATTTCTCATGATGACATCACTCTTGGTATCAGTGCATTCACCTGTAGCTTTGACTCACTGACCCTGCAGGCCCCGTGTCACTCCTCGCCATGTGGACCAATCGCATCACTGTGGCCAATTCCAGGAAGCACCAGGAGTTTTTGGGCAGAGTGAGCTCCGTCAACAACAAGTTTGAGTTATACCAGCAGCTCAAAGAGGAAAACGGGTGTGTTTCTTTATAATGTACCGCCATCTGTTTGTTAACTTTTTATACAGCAACTCATCTTTTGCATTAAACTCAACATCTGTTCATTTCCAGGATTGAAGTTCATGAAAACGGAAAAGCCGCCAGATGATGTTTCTGTGATATTGCCGAGGATGAGATTGTGGACCACCATTTTAATTTCTTTTTCAGATTAGGGCTTCACCTGATTCTCCCAGAACAAGGACATGAAATAAACCAGACGGTGAACTCTAAAGAGGAATTTCTATGTTTTTTAAGCCATGATTTTGTAGATATGCTGTTCACATATTGTGTAACACATTAAAACGCTGTTGGCTTTTGCTGAAAGTCAATTGAATGTTAAAGTGCTTTGTATCTTTGTCTTGATATTAAAACAACTGAAAATACAATAAGGGTTAAACTTTAAGTGTCTTATAAGAATAATGGTTTTAAATGATCCATTGACTTGTAACATTAATATTCACTTAAAGTTTGTCGCTGCAAGTTTTTATTTCTCAGCTTTTTTTTCCCCTCAAATATTTGAACTCACAAATGGGACCTAGCCAGCTTGGTGATTTGCTGATGCTCTGGTCTGAGGTCATTCTATCAAAAAGATGCCTTGACTCTTTTGTTTATTTGCTGTGTGATGTTGCTGAAAATCTGCTGAAAACACCCTGATACAGTGACCTTCAGAGGTAAAGTGCTGCTAGAGGGTAAAGTGCTGGAGTTTTGCACATGGTTATGAGGTACTGGTGTAAATTGCACATTTGCCTTGGAGCCTGTAACTTTAAAGTGCTGGTGTTATTGCATGTTATTGGTTTGCAAAACCAACAAAAATGTAAGATTCATTTAAGTGAAGTAACTGGAAAGTTGATAAGAACAGGGAATAAATTACAATTTGTTGGAAACTGCCCCATAAGAGTCCATTAAGGCAGGGGTTCCCAAACTTTGCCATGCCAAGGATATATAGCATCAACCTCTGGTGGGGGGCCCACTTGAGCAAATGTTCCTAAATTCCTTTTACATTACAATTACAAATGTCAAAAATTAAATGAACAGCTTCTTTATATGTTTACTTATTTAATCAACAATGAAAATGTATGTTTTTGTAAACTAAATTCCAATCATCAACAGTCATCTTAACAGTCACATATTTTGTTACAATTTTTCTAATACTTCCTGTATTAGATAAGTCGTTTTTGTTGTGTTATTTTACAATGTTGATAGACTTTTGTAGAAACCGAACACAAGTTTGGATATGCAGCGATTAATACATTTGTTTTATGTGTAATATTAGTAGAAGTTGATTTTTATTCCAGTTTCCCCCCTACTTCTTCCCAAAGTTTCTAGGACCCTCTGATGACCCCCACTTTGAAAAACACTGCATTAAGGAACTATTAATACCCCTTTACCTCCATCAGCTGTATTTAAACACACAGTATTTCAATTCCACCGCCAGGGGGCTCTCAATCAAAACAACATCTTTTTGTATCGTATGATAGTAGTTTGATAACAACAATACCAATATTCATAATGTTTCCAGGGGAGTACATTTGATGCTGAAAGACAAAATAATCCATTTAAAAATATTCTACAGATTCATTCAAAAAAGGTAATTGTTGCAGCACTGAGTTCATGCACACAGAGGGACATGCATGCTAACCTGCAGGGACCCACAACTAAATAGAATATTAGTTCATGGTGATTACACACCGAAAAGAGACATGTGAGAAAACAAAACAGCAAAAGGAAAAAAAAATCTTGCAAGAAAGCTAGTACGGATGTGAACAATGAATGTCTTAAACATTCTGCTGCTTAGGTGCACGCGACACATTTTTTGACATGGTTAAATGTTTTTCTTCAGCCACATTTGGTTTCAAATAAAGCACAGGGTTCTAATTTTAGCCTTAAACCATGGCTTGACTACAAAACACTAAACAACTCACTGGGTCCAATAGTCATAAACAAAATGTACTTTATGTAAACATTTACTTGCGGTGGAAGTAACGGGCTGGACTGACCTTCTGTCTGTGACGATGTTAATCATGTGGTTAAAGTCCCCTTTAATAGATTTTAAAATGTGAGTGGGTTAGGGTTAGGGTGGGACGTCCTTTTGTGACGAGCCTACAGCTGTAGTAAATGAATTGCAGATTAACAAATAATTCTGTTTACTGATGGGGAAGAAGAAGCTGCTGCTGTCTGAAAGATTCACTTGTTGCTGGGATGTCATATACCTTTGTACTTGAATACAGATTCCCTACGGGCCACAACAATGATGTCATCTTGTTCCTATCAATCATCTTCTGAAGGGAGACCGTTAGGATGCAATGAGAGAATTTTTACAAAAAATCAAATAGTCGGGGCGCGCTGGTGGCGCAATGGTTAGGGCGCGCGTCCCATGTATTCAAGCGGTAGACCCGGTTTCGCTTCCACCCGTGGCCCCCCTCCGCATGTCATTCCCCGCTCTCTCTCCCTGGTTTCCGACTCTATCCACTGTCCTCTTTCTGCATTAAAGGCACGAAAAGCCCAAAAATTAAAAAAAAAAAAAAATCAAATGGTAGAAACTCTTGAAATGCAGTCCTGTGTTTATTATCTGTCAAAAAGTCTGCTGTGTTCTGAGGGAGCCACTGTGGGTGTTTGACTCCTGAGCAGTAGAGGGAGCAGTTGGATCAAATTGTTCCTCAGACTGGCACTTTCAAATGTAGAAAAAGAGACAATTCAATTCAATTTATTTTGTATAGCGTCAACTCATAACAAGTGTTATCTCAAGACACTTTACAAAAAGCAGGTAAAATACCTTACTCTTTGTCTGTTAACATTACAAAAGAGCAGGTAAAAAGACCTTACTCATTGTTATGTTACAAAAAGCAGGTAAAAGACCTTACTTATTGCTATATTACAAAGACCCGGCCTATCCATCATGAGCACTTTAGCAAAGCAGCAAGTTACAGTGGTAAGAAAAAACTGCCTTATTAAAAGGCAGAAATCTTCGGCCGGATCCCTGGCTCATGACGAAACAGCCTTCACAGACCTAGACTGCGCCGGGGTTGGAAAGGGATAGGGGGAGAGATGGGATAAGATGCAGGAAGAGGGATAGGGAGCAGCTGTTCTGGCAGGCCGTCAACCAACGATCTTGAGGAGCCTAAGAGAGCTCAAGAGCTCCCAGGAAAGTAGGTGGTTAGTGACTGAAATTTACAGATAGATACATGCAGTAATATGATGTACTGTATATGCACAGAGAGAGAGAGAGAGAGAGAGGAGCTCAAGGTGCCAGTTTCCCCGGTAGTGTAAGCCTATAGCAGCATAACTAAGAGCTGGTCTACACCAGCACTAACTATAAGATTTATCAAAAAGGAAAGTTTTAAGTCTATTCTTAAAAATACAGACTGTGTCTGCCTCCCGGACCCCGGCTGGAAGGCGGTTCCAGAGGAGAGGAGCCCGATAACTGAAGGCTTTACCCCCCATTGTATACTTGGAGACTGTAGGTACCACCAGCAGGCCTGCACTCCGGGACCGCAACGCTCTCGAGGGACAGCACGGCACTAGTAGCTCCTTCAGGTAAGATGGTGCCTGGCCATTTAGCACTTTGTAGGTGAGAAGAAGGATCTTGAATTCTATTCTAGACTGTATAGGGAGCCAGTGCAGAGAAGCCAGGACAGGAGTGATGTGGTCCCATTTCCTGGTTCTGGTCAGTACACGAGCTGCAGCATTCTGGACCAGTTGAAGAGTCTTTACAGGATTTGCCAGAGACAGCTGACAAAAGAGAGTTACAGTAATCCAGTCTGGAGGTAACAAATGCATGAACTAGTTTTTCTGCATCATTTTGCGACAGGATATTCCTAATCTTGGATATATTACGAAGGTGAAAATAGGCTGTTCTTGAAACTTGACTGATGTGAGAGCTAAAAGACACATCTTGATCAAAAAGAACTCCTAGATTCCTAACAGTGGTGCTAGATGCCAGGCTGATGTCACTAAGGACAGTCAAATCACTAGAAAAAGTCTCTCTGAAGTTCTTAGGGCCTAGCACAATAACTTCAGTCTTGTCAGAGTTAAGTAGCAAAAAATTTCTGGTCATCCAGGTCCTATGTCCATAAGGCACGTTTCTAGCTGACATAACTGACTGGTGCCATCGGGCTTCATTGATACATAAAGTTGAGTATCATCTGCATAACAATGAAACTGTATGGAGTGTTTCCTCATAATATTTCCCAGAGGAAGCATATATAATGTAAAGAGAATTGGTCCAAGCACTGAACCTTGTGGGACTCCATGGCAAACTTTAGTGTGCATAGAGGACTCATCATTAACATGTACAAACTGAGATCGGACTGATAAGTAGGATTCAAACCAACTTAAAGCTGTCCCTGTAATTCCAAGCAAATGCTCCAGTCTGTACAACAGGAGCCGATGGTCAATGGTGTCAAAAGCAGCACTAAGATCTAACAAGACTAGCACAGACAGAAGTCCCCTGTCTGAGGCTAGAAGTAGATTGTTTGTAACTCTAACTAGTGCAGTCTCAGTGCTATGGTGGACTCTAAATCCTGACTGAAACTCCTCAAATAAACTGTTGTCATGGAGAAAGTCACACAGCTGTTTAGCTCCCACCTTCTCCAGGATCTTCGAGAAAAAAGGAAGGTTGGATATAGGCCTGTAGTTAGCCAGAGTTCCTGAGTCCAGAGTAGGCTTTTTAAGTAGAGGTTTGATTACCGCTACTTTAAATGCCTGGGGTACATAGCCTGCCAGTAAAGACAAATTAATCATATCTAATATAGAGTTGCTAACTAAGGGAAAGACTTCCTTAAACAGCTTGGACAAGGATAGATCTTGCTTGAATACTTTCCAGTGATCATAGATGTGTGAGGAAACTTTACACACACATCAGTGTATGGAGTGTTGGTGGATTGATAGTAGGAGTTGCATAATCCCAAGATCTGATTTAACAGATGGTCATTTCTTTATATATAGATGATGGGCTAGACATGATAGAGTGGGTTTTAGTCAAATGAAGGTTAATTTGAAGAGTTTGTAGAAGGGACATGAATAAAAGATCTGGGCTTAATGATAGATTTTTATATCTCAATGGAATAGTTCTGGTAAAATTAAGACATTGCAGGGGTGCCTCTAACTGCATAAGAGCAACACATTTCTCAGGAGTGATGAAGACTAAAATAGAGACAAAAGATTAGAAGGTAAATGAACACTGGTCTTTAAACACCAAATCAATTTGGATTTGAAAAATCTGTCCCTGAGGGGCAATTTGGTTTGTCAATACAGTTAATACATCCATGAAAAACAGAAAATGACATAAATATATTAAAAAAAACAGAAAAATGACATAAATATATAAAGAAAACAGCAAAATGACATAAATACATAAAAAACAGCAAAACTGGAGCTGGACTCTCTGATGGTGGTGTCAGAGAGGAGGATGCTAACTAAGTTGCGTTGCATCTTGGACAATGTCTACCACCCACTCCACGATGTGCTGGTCAGACACAGGAGCACATTCAGTGTCAGACTGATTCCCCCCTGGGATTATTTCTGATTCTGATTCTGAAAAAACAGCAAAATGATATATAAATACATAAAAAACATAACAACCATTATATATATATAAACAGACTAATAATTTATTATTATATATATAAACTGTCTCTATAATGATTTATTATTATATATATATAAACATACTAATGATTTATTATTATATATATAAACATGCTAATGATTTTTATATATATATATATATATATATATATATATATATAAACAGTCTCTATAATGATTTATCATTATATATATAAACAGACTAATAATTTATTATTATATATATAAACTGTCTCTGTAATGATTTATTATATATATATATAGATCAACATACTAATGATTTATTATTATATATATATAAACAGTCTCTATAATGATTTATTATTATATAAACAGACTAATGATTTAATATTATATATCTGAGCATTAAGAACATGGTCCCGTTTCAGAGAGCAGGTTTAGTTCAAACTCAAGCTTTTTTTTGAAGTTTTCTTGGTTTAATGGCGTGACAAACTGATGACATAAACACATGAGGCACAAAAAAAACAAACAGACAAGGTCAGGACAATAATTCCAAAATACAGTAAAAAAAACTGAGACATCAACAGACACACATCTGACTACAACCAGCAAAGACATTACAAAACTATATGAAATACCTAAGAAAGGGTACAAGAAGTGAAATAAGTGATAGAGAGAAAGAGAGAAGGAGAGGGAGAGAAGGTGCTTTGTAAGGGGGAATTGAGAGGTAGAAGAGAGTTAAGGAGTTGAGCAGTGTGTATGGTATGTGTTGAATATGTTGAACAATGTTGTGGTGTGAGAGGTGAGACTTTGTGTAATGATTATGTATTAGGGGAAGTTGACTGCAGCCAGGGTTTTGGGTTTGGTTTGAGCGTTCGATGTGATTTGAGGGGAGGATGGAGGGAGAGGCAAAGATATTATTTTTCTTTTCTTTGGCCGGGTCCCCCAGACCCTCAGGAGGGGACTTGTCACTTGCAGGATTGAAATAGCTCTGTGGTGATTTGTGGGCCCAAATCATCGTCACTTGTAAATTGTGTGTGTGTTTGTGTTTGTGTTGGGTGTGTTTGTGTTGGGTGTGATTGGTGCACAGGCAGAAAGAGTGGATGGGTGGGATGTTGTAGGGGTAGTTATGAGTTGATTATTGGGTTCCAGACAGATTCAAATTCAGCAGTTTGTTTTCTGAGTGAGGCAGTTAGTTTTTCCATTGATATATATTCGGTGAGTAAGTTTTTCCAATGTGCAACATTTTTTTTTCTCCACTTCCAGTTCATGAGGACAGTTTTCTTGCCGATGGTTAAGGCTATGAGGAGTATTTTGCTGGATGTGATATTTGAGTTGATGGTAGATATGTCTCATAGTAGGCAGAGTGTGGGTGAACAGAGTACAGAGAGGTGGTCAGTGATGTCATGCCAGAATAGTTTTATTGGTGTACAGTCCCAAGTGGCGTGCAGGTATCTGTCTGTGGTGTTTTGTGTGCACATAATTTAGAATCAGTGAAGCCCATTTTAAACATCCTCTCACCCGTGTATAATCCCTGTGAATAATCTTGTATCGTATGAGTTTAGCTCTGAGTCTGTTAACCCTGAAATGAGGGAAACTCTGGGTTTTCCGTTTCATTCACATTTTTACATTCAACTGAAGTCCATACTTAGAGGGATCTGGTCTGCCCTTCTGACAAAGCTATTACATTTTAAAGTGTTGCAGAACGTGAACTTTTTAAACACTGGGGAACTCTGGTGCTTTTGAACGCAGCACAGTTGGTCGGTTGCCACTTCATGCCTACGTCACTTCCGTCTCACAACCTTCTCCGAGATTTTACCCAAGATGGCGTCTACGCAGTTAACGGACGAGGAGCTTTTCTCTGAACTGAAGCGTCTGGGCTTCACCCCGGGCCCGGTAACCGAGAACACCCGGCCGGTGTACCTCAAGAAGCTCAAGAAGCTTCGAGAAGAGCAGCAGCAGCGAGGCTCACGGCCGAGTAAGACCCGCAGCGGGGCCGCCATCAGCGGCTCCTCTGGCGGCGGCAGCACGGCGGGCTCCAGGCCAGCCAGCCGTGACGTCACGCACCTGATCTCCAACAGGAGACCGGGCCGGAAGTCGTCCGTCCTCGGCTTCAGCTCCGACGAGTCAGACGCTGAAACTCCTCTGAAGAGAAAAGGCCTGAACCACAGCACTGGGTCTCCACCGCTGAGGACCCGGTCCCCTGCCACCCTAAACACCGCTCACCATAGCCCGCCGAACAGCAGCACGTCCTCCCCGGGAACAGAGCCACAGCGGAGCGGCTCTTTGAGCTGGAGGCTACGCGGCACCTCCAGCCCCGAGGCGGGAGAGAGGGACGAGGAGTCCGGGGACGACGACGAGGAGGAGGAGGAGGAGGAAGAGGAAGAGGCGGGCCCGGAGAAGAACTGTCGATCTGTGAACGGCTGCGGGGCTCACGGGAACCAGCTCACGGTACCCGGTAAGGTTTCAAATGTTCGATACGTTCTTGATAATAAGCGATTTAAAATGATCTGTGATTTTAATGAGCCGTAGTTTCACAAAGTACGGAAGCTTTAAAACAAAAGTGTGTGTGTGTGTGTGTGTGTGTGTGTGTGTGTGTGTGTGACCCTGTGTGTGTGTGTGACCCTGTGTGAGTTCAGTTGTACCAGGAGTTGATTCTGAGTTCACGCTTTACAAAACATTTCAGGTGTCACCTGCAGAGATGTTCCAGCTTAACTTTCTCAGCAGGTGGGGAGGGAGGGTTTTATACTCTCCTGCTCCTCTTCACCTCCTCTACTGCTCCTCCATCCTCTCTGTTTAGTGTGCAAGAGTTTGTCTTTCATTTTTGAGACTTCTATTTTTGTTGCAGTGGTAACAAACACGTTATATCTATGATTTTCCTGTAGTACCCGGGGAGTACTCGGACTCCGACGAGGAGCAGGTCTCAGGCCTGGGTGCCGGGGACAGATCCAGGGAGCGTCTGGATCCCAGACGGAGACCGGTCCTTCCCCACCACAGAGCCAGCCGAGGGTCTCGGACAGTAGGGCCGATCCTAGTGGAGGACAAACCAGAGGGTTTAAACATGGTGGGGGGCCGAGGGGAAGATGGGGACGGTAACAGGAGGGACTCTGACACACCTGGATCCTTCAGGACCCACATCTTTCCACGCAAGTCCATCTACGTGTCCCTGAACCGCGGAGAGAACCACCACGTTAGCAGCGAGCCCGGAGCCTCAGGCCGCTTCAGCCTAGGGCTCAGACCGCGCTTCTCCTCCTACAGCAGCTTGAGCTCCTCCTACAGGAGCAACAACTCCAACCACAGCCCTGCTCCCTCCCGGCCCCACAGCCCCGCCTACCAACAAGCCGCGCCCCATGGGCCAGAGGACGAGTTGCTGCAGCAATTTAAAAGAGAGGAGGCTTCGCCATCCAGGTGCTTCAGCGCCCATTACCTGTCCATGATACTCCTGACCGCCGCCTGCCTCTTCTTTGTCTTGCTGGGACTCATGTACCTGAGGATGAGGGGCGCGACCACCAACGACACAGAGAGTGAGTACCTGAACACACCTGAGAATACTGCTAACAGTGATAGAGACAGTACAGGTGTGATAACCTGTCTGATTTACAGAGAGTACAGGTGTGATAACCTGTCTGATTTACAGAGAGTACAGGTGTGATAACCTGTCTGATGTTACGGAGAGTACAGGTGTGATAACCTGTCTGATGTTACGGAGAGTACAGGTGTGATAACCTGTCTGATGTTACAGAGAGTACAGGTGTGATAACCTGTCTGATGTTACGGAGAGTACAGGTGTGATAACCTGTCTGATGTTATAGAGAGTACAGGTGTGTTTACTAGGGCTGTCCCGCTGGTGATCCAAGGTGGCTCAATAAACCCCCCCCCCCCCCCCCCCAACTTTAATATTTATTAAGCACATTTGTTTGTGAATCAGGGGTCATAAACTGAAACTGAGAAACTGTCCTTCAAGCAATAATATATGGCCTAAAAGATTATTTAGACTTTTACTTATTTGATCATTTTCTTGACAATAACGCTGCGATAAAAAGTGACAAACACGCCACGGAACAGAGCAGCCTGGTGCTGAAGTGAAGCGACAGGTATGACCCGAATCACCTCTTAAGCTTTTTGCCTACGAAAAAGCGCAAGACAGTTCGTTCTTTAGCGATCTGTACAGTATGATTTGACTACAGAAGGACTAACTTCACTGTGTGTAGTGTCGGCTGCGCTCCGCTGCTGGCATCTCGTCTCTGTGGCGTGAACATTTGTCTCTGTCGCTGATTGTAACTGCGTCGTTGTTAAGAAAATAATAACATAAGTAAAAGTCATAATCAAGATAATCCTACAGGCCAAAGACTGGGCCTTTTTACCAGACGAGAGTTCAAATGAGATGTTTTCTCATTTCGGCCATATTTGACAAATTGCATCGTCTAAATCAGCTGGTTCTCCTTTTTCAGTGTCGTTGCCTGTGTGAATGTTATGTGAGGTGAGGTGACACCTGAGAATACAGGGTACAGGTGTGTTGACCTGCCTGATGTTACAGAGACAGTACAGGTGTGTTGACCTGCCTGATGTTACAGAGACAGTACAGGTGTGTTGACCTGCCTGATGTTACAGAGACAATACAGGTGTGTTGACCTGCCTGATGTTACAGAGACAGTACAGGTGTGTTGACCTGCCTGATGTTACAGAGACAATACAGGTGTGTTGACCTGCCTGATGTTACAGAGACAGTACAGGTGTGTTGACCTGCCTGATGTTACAGAGACGGTAGGCGTGTTGACCTGCCTGATGTTACAGAGACAGTACAGGTGTATTGACCCGCTTGATGTTACAGAGAGTACAGGTGTGATGACCTGTCTGATGTTATAGAGAGTACAGGTGTGATAACCCGCCTGATGTTACAGAGACGGTACAGGTGTGTTGACCTTCCTGATGTTACAGAGAGTACAGGTGTGATGACCTGTCTGATGTTATAGAGAGTACAGGTGTGATAACCCGCCTGATGTTACAGAGACAGTACAGGTGTGTTGACCTGCCTGATGTTACAGAGACAGTACAGGTGTATTGACCCGCTTGATGTTACAGAGAGTACAGGTGTGATGACCTGTCTGATGTTATAGAGAGTACAGGTGTGATAACCCGCCTGATGTTACAGAGACGGTACAGGTGTGTTGACCTTCCTGATGTTATAGAGAGTACAGGTGTGATAACCCGCCTGATGTTACAGAGACGGTACAGGTGTGTTGACCTTCCTGATGTTATAGAGAGTACAGGTGTGATAACCCCCCTGATATTACAGAGACGGTACAGGTGTGTTGACCCGCCTGATGTTACAGAGACAGTACAGGTGTGTTGACCTGCCTGATATTACAGAGACAGTACAGGTGTGTTGACCCGCCTGATGATTCAGAGACGGTACAGGTGTGTTGACCTGCCTGATGTTACAGAGACGGTACAGGTGTGTTGACCTGCCTGATGTTACAGAGAGTACAGGTGTGTTGACCTGCCTGATGTTACAGAGAGTACAGGTGTGTTGACCTGCCTGATGTTACAGAGAGTACAGGTGTGTTGACCTGCCTGATGTTATAGAGAGTACAGGTGTGTTGACCTGCCTGATGTTATAGAGAGTACAGGTGTGTTGACCTGCCTGATGTTACAGAAGACGGTACAGGTGTGTTGACTAGAGGTGGGTGATATGGGAAAAATATCATATCACGATTTCTTTTTTGGCAAAATCACAATTTTATCACAATTTTTTTCACACTGATCTTTAGACAAATTTGTAAGTTACTGACCAGTTCAACCAAAGTTATTTCCCTGTATAATGTATTTAAATGCACAAAAACTGTGCAGACAAGTTTAATCTATTTAAAAAACATCTTTGTAGGAGGTCTCACCCAGAACATCTTCAGCAACAGAAATGTCTTTCCCTCAATTTGATCAACATTTATGCACAATTTGAAGGTTTTCCTCACCACTTTGAAATTGTGATTTAGTTATGTGTCCTCTTTTTATGTTCATCAGGAACATTTTCATGCAGTGATGCATTCATTTAAAAACATGTAGACTTCGAGTTCTTGTGTTTCTGTTCTATTTTAGCCCTGCAGAGTTCCTACAGCTGTAGCTTCATACAGGCTCTGAAGCCTTTGTTGTTTTTTATGACATCAATGGACTAACTTTAGTTTTGTTTATATATAATCAAACATAATACTGAATGTGTTCATTCTGTGACACATGATCAAAGTAAGTTTTACTGACAGAAGAGTTTAATTCACAGAGGGGGTGGGACATTGTTGATTGACAGACAGACAGTCACCATGGTTACTCACTCTCACCTGCCTGCTGCTTTGTAACATCGTTTAGCCTAATCCTTATAGGTTCCGTTATCACAACAGGTGAGCTTCGGGTGGAGAGGCTTGATAAGTAACTTTTAAAAACTGAGAGAGAGCAGAAAACACCGACAGCAACATTTAAAACACCGGGGTTATATCTCCACTCACTGACTGTCTGAGCTCCGCTCTGTCTGTCTCTGACTGTTAATGTCTCTCCGGCTCGTATAACGGTTTCTTGTGTCGCTATCTGAGATGTCTCTCTCTCTCTCTCTCTCTCTCTCTCTCTCTCTCTCTCTCTCTCTCTCTTGCTCTGAAGCTGATGTGATTCTGCTCTATTTTGCTGCTAACACTAGGACCACCAACAGTCTAGACCCCCCTCCAAGCGCCGCAGACGTCTTTCAGACGGCATATGCAAATTAAATTGTTTGTGCTCAGAAGCACACAAATAATGCATTTTTTTGATGAAGTTAAATACAACTTACTTTTATCTACAAACCAAATAGGCTCTCAGCATAAGGCAGGATTAGTAACCTTTTAAATGTCGCATGTTAATTTACATTATCTGTCTGCTTTTTTAGTGCGACGTTTTTACTGCTGCTCCACATCTCCCGTTGCTAAAACACATTCAACAATAATTAAACATACATAAATTTTAGTCTATTATATTGTTGGATATATTAGGCTATGCATTTTAATAAAAACACTGCAAAAAAAGAGATAAACACTGATGCTCGTCCTCCTCTCTGCAACTGGGTTTGTTTCCCCGACATAGAGGAAATCATTGACCAACACACAGGCACGCCAAAAACAACAACAACAACAAAAACACGGCTATCTATGGGCATGACAAATTATATAGCCTACAAAAAGAACTGCAGAAATCCATAAGAGATGCAGCGGCGAACAAACAAACAGATGAACAAATGAACGATCGGCACCTTGGACAGCGCCGTGGCACGTAATGCACATACCTGCGGCAAAAGTGCTCAACCTTTGCGGTGCACTTCCCACTCACAGGGCGCTTGCACTCCTTGCAGAAGACAATGGTCATGTTTTTCTTGCAGTGCGTGTTTGTCTGACACTGCCTCCTTCTCAGCTCTTGTGGATGTTGTGGCTCCACGGGCACCGACGTCAGACTGGCCTTGACACGCAGGTGTTCCTCTCTCTGTTCCTTTGCCGGCTCAAGAATGATCATGTATCTATGTGTCTATGGTCTCTATCTATCTATTTGTATATCCTATCTATCTGTCGGTCTTTGTTAAATTCCTGCGCATATATATGAAGTCTATAAATAGAAACAATAACTAATAAAAATTAATACGATGCGCGAAAACAATCCAGGGAAATGTATCATTTTCAACTGCCGTCAATATGAAGGCGGCGGCGGTTAGAGGTATAAATGCTCAGAAATCTTGTGTTTTATTTTAGTTACAACATACAGGACACATATTTAAGAAAAGTCATTGGATGAGAGGCTCATATGTTTTTTTTATTTAAAAAGAGTTATTTGTATTATAAAAACCCAAACCGTCCGTCACACGGTCTTGGCGGTTCTAGTGTTAACACTCCGCAGGAGTTGAGAGGGATTTTTTTTTAAAAAGGCAGTTTTGCTATGTTGAACACAGAGACTTATAATACAGCAGTTCAGGTTGCAGAGCTTACAGAGCGCGACTGCACTCTCTCGCGTGTTCGCTCCCTCTTGCTCTCTCTCTCCCCCGCTAACTCTCAATCTCTCAGGCACGCAGCAATTTTATGAATAAATGAAAAATGAAATGAGAACAGGTCGGAAATATACTTGGGCCGAGGTATCGTCTTTGTGTGGGAAACACTGGAGATTAAATATTTTCAAACATGTTGTTGGTGTAAAGTTGTCATTTTTATTGTGCTGCACTTTTTTTTGAATTTGCCAAATGTCAGAGTTGTGTTAGTTTAAGTGCGTGCGTGTGTGTGTTTTCATGTATTCATGTGTTCACTGTGTGTGTTCATGTATTCACCCGGTGTGTCTCTGTGTGTTGCAGTTAAGAGTCACCCGTTTGGCAGCGACTTTGACTCTTCATATGTAAGTACAGATCTCCTCCTCTTCTTCACTCTGATGATCCACACTTTGACCTTCAGGTGACCTCTGTTATTTCTTTCTGTTTGCAGAACAAGATGGACAAAGACCTGATCCTGAACTTGCTGCTCAGTCTCCATGACCACCTGGCCCAGATCGCAGGTAAATCTCGCCCCTCCGCAGACACCAGCTGATCCGATCATGTGATTCATCGCCATCATTAACGGCTCGTACAGTGTTGATGTTTCAGTGTGTGCAGTTACTTTGATTCTACAAGCTTGTGAACTGTTTGTTGACTCAAACAACGTGACACACACCTGCACACACACAAACGCTCACGCACACATGCTCACACACATACTCACACGCTCACACATACAAATACACATGATCACACACACGCTCACAAACACTCACACGCTCTCGCACACACATGCTCACACACACGCTCTCGCACACACATGCTCACACACACGCTCTCGCACACACATGCTCGCTCTCACACACATACTGACATACACATGCACACACACACAAGCACACTCACACACATACGCTCACACAAACACACACACACACACGTGTGACATCATCATTCTGTGACATTCTCTTGATTTCAGGTCAACATGACTGTGGAGACTCGCAGCATCACAACCGGAGTCTGACCCTGAAACAGGCCTCTGACTATTTAGAGGTATGTGTGAACAGCAGATCTTTACCGAGTGAGACTCACCAACAGTGCCGTAACAAAGCGCCGCCATCATCACACCTGAATACATTCATTTTGATTCCGTTATATTAGTGTACCAGTCTTGGAATTCACATGAGAGAGCATGGCACAGCTGCACACAGACAGAGGGGGGGGTCACTTCGTCCCCCCGTTACGCCTGCACCACATTCAGATTGAAGGAGAAATATAACAGGGGCGTAAAAATCACAGCTTGAAACGGCAGCCTAAACAGAGTCACTATTTCCTGGTACATTTAACGACAGCATAAAGCTTCTTTAAATATTCCAGTTCTTTGAATGTTTGTGTGTGTGTGTGAACAGGCTCAGAATCAGCAGTTCGGTCCGTTCATTCTTGTCTCTCTGGAGTGGATCATCAGGACAGGACAGGACGTTGGGATCAGGTAAACACCTCACCTGGGGCCCATACCACGAAGTGAGATGAACAGATCCAGGGTCTCTGTGGGTCCAGCTTCACTAACACTAACATCAGAGAGCGTGATTAACAGTCACATGAAGCTGGTTATCAACATAAGTTACCCTCGAGTTTCAGAGAGTGCTTTCACATAAAAGGGGCGGAGTTAGCTTCATATGACCTATCACAATCAACCCTGTTTACTGTGTGTGTGTGTGTGTGTGTGTGTGTGTGTTTCAGGCTGACCGGACTGACCGCTAATGACCCCGTCACTGATGTCTCTGAGATCTCTCTGCTTGAGTCCACACATCCCAGAATGCCATTCACTTGTCGCTTCCGCAGAGCCTTCCTCATCGTCATCAGCAGAGTCTTCCTCATCGCAGCCGGTGAGATTAAATATTCAACAAAAACAACAACACTGGTGGAAACACAAACAGACCCCTGCAGTCACAGGTTGATTCTGTTTCTTTAAGAACACGTTTCTGTGAACATAATGACAACCACCTGAGGCCGCCTCATCCACATGTTTACATACACACAGATTTAAAGGACAGTGTGTGGGTGTCTGTCTGTGTCCAGTGTTTCCCACACATACACCATAGACGGTGCAGGCGCGCTCATGGCTCCTTGCAGCAAAACTCCTATCTCGACTCATGCGGAAAGACAGGAACCAAGAGAGCGAAATCACATCAGCGTCATTCTGTGGAAAACACTGGTGTCTGTGTTTATTTATCTTACATATAACCCTGTTTAATCCTGTCTCTGTATGAATGACATGTTTTATCAGTGAGGAGCTACAGCTGTAGAGTCTGTTTTAACGTGTGTGTGTGTGTGTGTGTGTGTGTGTGTGTGTGTGTGTGTGTGTGTGTGTGTGTGTGTGTGTGTGTGTGTGTGTGTGTGTGTGTGTGTGTGTGTGTGTGTGTGTGTGTGTGTGTGTGTGTGTGTGTGTGTGTGTGTGTGTGTGTGTGTGTGTGTGTGTGTGTGTGTGTGTGTGTGTGTGTGTGTGTGTGTGTGTGTGTGTGTGTGTGTAGTGGTGGGCTGTGTGTGGAGTGTGGTGTGTTACATGAAGTATCGCTGGAGGAGAGAGGAGGAGGAGACCAGACAGATGTACGACATGGTAGAGAGGATCATAGGTGAGACACACACACCTCCTGTACAGTAAAGGTTTTTTGTGCTCTGTATTATCTTTAGTCTGTTGTTTAACATAAACTGTGTGTGTGTGTGTTTTCAGACGTGCTGAGGAGTCACAGTGAAGCGTGTCAGGAGAACCAGGACCTGCAGCCCTACCTGCCCATCCCCCATGTCAGAGACTCACTGGTCCAGCCTCAGGACAGGTCTGTACAAAGGTCATATGTTTGTGTTGTCATACAGGGAGAGGATTTAACATTTGTGATGTCATACAGGGAGATGATTTAACGTTTGTGATGTCATACAGGAAAAGGATGAAGAAGGTGTGGGAGCGAGCGGAGAGCTTCGTTTCGGCGAATGAGTCGAGGATCAGGACGGAGACTCAGAGGATCGGGGGGGCGGACTTTCTGGTGTGGAGGTGGATCCAGCCGTCGCTCACCTGTGATAAAACCTCCTCAGGACCGTCCAAAGTGTGGCAGGGGAAAGGTAAAGGCAGCATGGGTAGCCCGAGGGCGTTTGTGAAGCAGCTGTGTGATCATATGACCTCATCATGTGACCTCATCATGTGACCTTCTCTCCTCAGCGTTCCCTCTGGACCGCAGGAACTCCCCCCCCAACAGTCTGACCCCGTGTCTGAAGATCAGGAACATGTTTGACCCCATCATGTGAGTCTCTTTCTGTGACGTCCCTTCCTCTGATGTCACTTCCTGTGTGTAACCCCCTGGTTGTGTGTTTCAGGGAGGTCGGGGAGAACTGGGACTTGGCGATCCACGAGGCCATCCTGGAGAAATGCAACGACAATGACGGCATTGTCCACATCGCTGTCGACAAGAACTCCCGAGAGGTAAGAGAAACACCTGAGGGATGTTACAGCTACATGCTCTTAGTGGACATGAACTCAGGAGATGTCAGAGTTCTTATTGGTTTATGTCCTGGTTAGTGACTCACTAAGCATGCTCAGTAGAGTTTCTCCTGCTGGTACACCGACTGCACGTTGAGAAGACGTCCGGTTCAAATATAGGAATGTTTATTTTGAACAAACACACCTCAAGCAGAAAACTACTGCCTCCTCTAATACCACAGGTGGCCACTGGGTGAAATGGTAAAATTCAAGTGATCTCTCTCTCTCTCTCTCTCTCTCTCTCTCCAGGGCTGTGTGTATGTAAAGTGTCTCTCAGCAGAGCATTCTGGGAAAGCATTCAAAGCTCTGCATGGCTCCTGGTTCGATGGTGAGTCACACACACTCCTACACACCTGTCTCTCTCCATCACCTGTTTTTCCTACAAACTGTTTTCATCTGAGAGCGACAAAGATCTCGTGACTCTGAGGGTGTTTTGAGCTTTGAAAACACTGGAGCCAAAACGACATCAATCGACAAACTCTCACAAAAAGGCCATACTATACGTGCTACCCAGGTATACTAACGGCCGTCCAGGTATATAAAGGGCTGCTCAGGTATATTTCCCGTCCTTTTTCATGCATAAAAGAGAGAGTGAGTCAGCTGGTGGCACCGGTTGAGGTGTGACGTCTCATGTAAAAACAGAAACAGACGCTCAAACTTTCTAGTGTTTAGGACAACTCTTTCACCTCTGTGTGTGTGCCTTCAAAATAAAAGCTCTTTAAAAAAAGTCTGTAAATATGACAGACATGACTTTTATTAATATAAGCAGGGGTTAAATCAGTCTGGTCTGTCAGTGGCTCCACACTTCATCCACGTGTGAAGACCCTCTGGAGACCTGACACACGGAGATGCACGTTCCCTGCTAACCGTCTCATGCTACATTTTGATAACACACACACATACAGATACAGCGTTTGTCAGACATAGGAGTAAGTCACACATAAACAAGTCTCAACCTTCAAGTCTCAAGCAAGTCACAAGTCACTGCGGTGAGAATCAAGCAAGTCAAGTCATACAAAATTTCCAGTATGAAATTAGTTAAGACAGTGGTCATCTTAAAGTTGTTTTTATTAATATTGGTTTAATTATGTGGTACACTTTATACCCTTCTGTTTCTTGTACTACAATTTCAGAGATTTTAATAATATTAACAATTTATTCAGCATTTTTCCTGTCATTACAACTAATGTTGTCAGGCGGTGTGACAGTAATTCAAAGCAGTAAAAAAAGGTTAAAGTGAACAAACAGTTTCTCATTATGATGTGAATATTTATTGTACCTTATTCGTTTATTTGTATATTTGTAGCATTATTTATCTGACTTTAAATTGGATGCTAAAGCCTCTAAAAACATTGCCAATAGAATGCAATCCTAAATTATTGTAAATACAAAACACACAAAAAAGAAAGAAAAGAAGGGATGCGCAGTGAGTCCACGTCTGCACATCAGAGAACATGACAGCTGCTTTACTGACATTGTGTCTTATTGTGAGTCATGTTAGTCACATACAAACAGAACACTCCGGGGTTTCTCCAGAATGAAGGCGGTCCAAGTTGTGTATCTGTGTGCTCGTGCATTTACTGTACTGTGCCGAAGCACACGTCTCCGAAGCGTGCCAGGTGGAGCGATCACACTGGTCGAATGAACTGGACTTTAGGGGTGAAGCGTGCTTACAGAGTGATCGCACCCTGAGGGCCTGTTGCATTGGCCTGGCCTCTGCTGCTGGTATGCTGCATGCGCCCCTCCTCTCTAGTGCTTGAGCACACCTGTACACTGACAGAGCGTTTGTTTCCACAGGTAAACTGGTGACGGTGAAGTACCTGCGTCTAGACAGGTATCATCAGCGCTTCCCTCAGGCTGTGAGCTGCTGTACCCCCCTGAAGGCCTCCAGCCCCTCCCTCAGCACACCCAGCAGCAACTCAGGGAGCCGCCTGATGCACAGAGCCTCCTCCTCCTTCTCCACCTTTTCTTCATCGGGATTCTCATGATGCAACATCAACCACACACAAACACGAACACCCTCTGCTGCTTCATCACAGGAACACTTCACTGCTCTTGTTTCGGCTCAGAGAGGATGAGTGGTGCTTCTCCTCCTCTCTCCTCCCCCTCCTCCTCTGTCTCCTCTTTCTGCTCTCTCCTCTTTCTCCTCCTCTCTCCTCTCTCCTCCTCTCTCTCTCTCTCCTCTCTTATCTCTCTCTCCTCCTCCTCCTCTCTTTCTATCTCTCCTCTCCTCTCTCCTCCTCAGCTTCATGTGTCATGTCTGTGAGCTTCAGTACGACACAGTGTTCTCCTGTTATTATCATTATTATTGATTATTATTATTTAATCAGTGAGGAGGCTGAATATACATCAGAAGCTTTATGACACACACACACACACACACACACACAGCAGAAAGTGATTGTGTTCCTGTCAGTTATTACCCGTATATTACCAACTTTATATCACTATGTATAATTTTTTATTATTTACCTTTCATGTCATGTTGGCTCATGTTAAGCCCCTCCCCCTCTCTGAGGTGTGTCTCACCTGTTTCTCTGGCAGCGAACGGAGGACTCTGATGATCTCTGCGAGGACGTTCACAGTCGCTCTTCTTTTTACAGCAGCGTTGTATTTAAGAGACGGAGTTGATTTTGGATGCAGTGATTGGACGTTGGACTCACTTTTTGCAGTGTGAAAATGTACAAATGATGCACATTTCAAGTTTTCAAAGTGCTGCCCCGGCGTGGAGCAGACACCCAGCTGTGCCTTATCTTCGTGCTGTTTTCAGTCTGGCACTGCGTCACTGAACAAGATGGAGGACATGATGACGGAGCAGTTTGAAGGGCTGCTAATGCCCACCATAGATGTAGTTTTGGTAGATTGACATCTTCAGTTTTTTTTTTGTTGTAGCAGCTTTCTTTGTTATTAAACCAAATGTTTCTCTCTATTTATTACTGTTATTTTTATAAACAGCCCTGGTGACGTGCTTTTTAAACGTCACTGGTCCTGTTACATTATTCATCAAACCTTCATCGAGCTAACGTCAGCCTCCAAACACACACACAGGTGACAGCAGATGTGTACCTGTCCTGCAGAAGGGTCTCCTTGCAGTGTGAGGGTCCTCCCTGCAGCTCGAGGGTCCTCCCTCTGTAGCTCGAGGGTCCAGCAGGAAACAGGCTGAATATTTTTGTTTCTGTTTGGACGCTCCTGCTCATCCTCCACTTTTAAAGGTTCTTTTTTCTGGGATGTATTTTGTGTGTTTTCTGTAAACACTGTACATTGATGTAACTGTAACATGAACTATTATATGCAGCTTTATTTTCATGGCGTTGTTCGTTAGGAGTCCCTGACCTGCGAGCCAGAGGGGGGAGGTGTACAAAACTACAGACATTTAAAGAAACAGATGTTTTAATGTAATTTGTTAATTGTACAAATGGCTCAAATTAAAGGTTTATTAGGAGTTTTTAAACTCTGTTTTCTGTCATGTGTGCACAGTAGGGCTGGGAATCTTTGGGTTTTCTGGGAATCGATTTTTGATTCAAAACAATTCTGGATTCATTGATCCATGGATTGGATTTCATACTTCAGGATCTATTTCAGTTATCTGTGAGACTGGCTGAATTTCTTGTTGCTCTATTTGGCGTTCTACAGAGTTGAAGAGCTAGCTTTAGCACTTAGCAGGGAGGGACTGATTAACCAACCCAAAAAACCCCCCGATTTTTGGAAGTTATGAATCGATTTTAAATCTTAGAAGAGAAGAATCTTGATTTTTACATAAATCAATTTGTTTCCCATCTCTAGTGCACAGGGTCCTTTTTTCTTTTGGTCCAGGTGTTTCAAAGTCTGAACACCTGTCTCAGTTTACACCTGTGACATGTATCCATCCTTTCCTCTTGCTCACGCTTTTAGATGTTAATATTTTCTGTTTCTTTGCTCCTCAATAACAGTCAACTAAATATCTAGTTGATAGATAACATATCTATATTTCAGGTCATCTTTTCTGATCAATAAGTCCGTGCAGCAAATCAAATTATACAGAAACCTGAACAACACACACATTAAGAGTGTTGGAGTTTGTCTTCATTTTACTCCTACTCATGAAAAACGTTTCAATACGAATGATCATACCACGTACAGAAAGTCTAGAAAGGATATAAGAGCAGGAGCTCTATATGTCCACCAGGGGGCAGTGACAGTGATCAGTAACCCCTCAGCAGTAGAAGAAGAGGTTCGTTGTGTTGTGTCCACCAGGGGGCAGTGACAGTGGTCAGTAACCCCTCAGCAATAGTAGAAGAAGAAGAGGTTCGGTATGTTGTGTCCATATTAGGAGATGTTCTGAGCTCCGTGGGTCAATGATCCGCTTCTTCTTAACACCTGATCCCGTCACACTGATCCGGATCACCGTGACGGTGTGTTCGCTGCTACTGCTCTCAGGTAAGACTCACATTCCGCGCACACACACTCCTTAATGGTAGAGTTAAACGTGTGTGTGTGTGTGTGTGTGTGTGTGTGTGTGTGTGTGTGTGTGTGTGTGTGTGTGTGTGTGTGTGTGTGTGTGTGTGTGTGTGTGTGTGTGTGTGTGTGTGTGTGTGTGTGTGTGTGTGTGTGTGTGTGTGTGTGTGTGTGTGTGTGTGTGTGTGTGTGTGTGTGTGTGTGTGTGTGTGTGTCTCTAACTAAAGCTGTGACTTTTATTTTGACTCTCTGTCTGTCTCTCTCTCAGCGTGACTCACTGTGTGTCATGACCTTCCTCCTCAGACGGGGGGCGCTCTTCACTCTACATCGTGCTCTCAAGCAGGGCAGCAGCTCGGTCTGCCCCCCCACTCGGCCGTCTGCCCTCATAGGTAGACTCACCTGACACACCTTCAGAGGATAATAAAAAATCGTCAGTTGTCATGTCCGTGGTCTCCCACGTTTTTAAAATCGTCTGCTGTGTGATCATAGTCCTCCTCTTTGATTGGTCTAAAACCTAAACTCAGTGTTCATATCGTCACCTGGACTCTCTCACACCATCGATTGAGATCCAAGTTTACCTGCTGTCACACCTGTGTGGGTGTGTCCTCAGGTATGACTGGAGAGTGTAGGTCCTCTGTTCACTTAATAAAACAGTTTGTTTATTTCATGAGGTCAGTGAACACATCACGGGGCACTATAAACACCAGACTTTCGCAACAACTCAACACAGGTGTGTGTGTGTGTGTGTGTGTGTGTGTGTGTGTGTGTGTGTGTGTGTGTGTGTGTGTGTGTGTGTGTGTGTGTGTGTGTGTGTGTGTGTGTGTGTGTGTGTGTGTGTGTGTGTGTGTGTGTGTGTGTGTGTGTGTGTGTGTGTGTGTGTGTGTGTGTGTGTGTGTGTGTGTGTGTGTGTGTGTGTGTGTGTTCAGGTGACGCTTCATGTGTCCTGTTGTGACATGTCACACACGTGTTGTGTTCTGTAGTGACATGCCGTGTTGTGCCGTCTTCTCCATGCAGCCCGTCGTCCCTCGCTGTGATCGGTCATGTCTGGTTTCAATCTGCTCCATCTAATAACCAAGAGTCCTCCTGTAGCTCTGAAGCCCTGCAGTCTGCCCTCAGGTGTCCTGACCGCTGTGTGCTGTGCTCACCTGCTGAGAGCTCACCTATCTAACACCTGCTGCTGCTGTGTTTGCTGTGTCTGATTAACTCGGTGTGGAACATGCTTCTGGTTTATGTTTGGTGCTCTCAGGCAGCGGGAGGTTGTCAAAGGTTTCGATTAGGGCTGGGCATGTTAACGCGTTATTTTCGCGTTAATTAATTAATTATCGCCGACAATTATTTTATCTCGCATTAACGCAATTTTTATTATTTATTTTCTTATTGTAAAAGTCTGTTGCTCACTGGCTTTTATTTTGTAAAATTCCATCGTGAGCGAGCGTAGTGCGTTGCTTGTTGCTGCTGCTCTCACAGGAAAGAGGAAACACTCAGAAAAGAATTGACGGATAATCAAGCATGGAGAAGTGTACGGAACTTTTACATGGCCATTTTCATTTTTAAGTTCTTCCAGACGGCGCAGTCGACAGAGCCAAAGTTATTTGTAACCACTGCAAAGTTGAATTTTCTTATCACCGGAGTACTTGATAAGTACTCCAAAATATGTTGCTGCCAGAAACTCAGGCGGACGCTGAAAGGTCGTTTCACTTGTCTTGACTTTATTTAAGCGTTTAACAAAGACCCAGTACCTTCATTCACTCTGCCTACGAGTCTCTTCAGCTGCTCAATAATAACTACAGCTTTCTTGCTAACTCCGGAGCATCGCAACAACAACTCTTCTTCTCTGAACTTCTGCATATCACTGTCACTCACAGACTCCACCTGCGGCGCATTTAATTAATAACGTCAACATGAACTGCTTGAATAATGTTGCAGTTCAGAAAAATACATTAACATTAGCAACTTTGAAGATGAAATTAAAAAGATTATAAACTAAAGAATTTCAAAATGACAAGTACAACAAAAATGTGTTTGTGGGGTCCCCGATAACCAAACAATAAACATCAATGTTCTCAATTGACCTGTCACACTCTCCCCCACTTTAAAAATGGCGTCCCGACATTTTCATTATACGTCTTAGCCTAAAACCTTTCTGGGCAGTTTTTTTTTTTTATATAACAAACAGGATGACATTATGCCCTTGCAGTGGCAATAAGCTTTAGTTTTGTATTTATTTGCTTTGATTACATTGTTTAAGTTGAAGTACATTTACAATAGAAGTGCGCTATACACTACTTTTGAATTCACTTTGTTATACTACTTTTGCGTATAACAATGCGATTAATCGTGATTAATCTCAGGAACTCATGCGATTAAAACTTTTAATCGTTGCCCAGCCCTAGTTTCGATACATATTTAATGATCAGACCTTCATCATTCCAGATCTTCAGTTTCAGTTTAAACAAAGCAGGCACACTGAGAAGAATGTTGGAGAGGTTTCTGGTTCCGTACTGAAATGTTGCCATGATAACAAACATCCATATGGTTTTATTTTTTATTAAAATCATATCTAGGTTTAAAATGCTGGCATGGTGACCCAGGATGTTTCCTGAGAGCTTCAAGCTGACCTTCGATTTCAAATCTGTCACAGTTTATTTAATTTAAGGAGAAGAAGAAGATTTCCTTTATTAATCCTGCGAGGAGAAATTCCATTTTATACTCCGTTCTTAAACATACTACACACACACACACACGCATGGACTGATGGAGAGATGTCAGAGTGAGAGGGCTCAAGTGCAAAGTGTCAGTGTCCAGAAGTGAACTGGCACCCCTCCAGCTACCAGACCAATTTTGCACTGGGACTTGAACCAGCGTTCCTCCGGTTCCCAACTCAAGTCCCTACAGACTGAGCTACTGTGGCATCAGAAGTTAGATTTACCCACACACAGAGAGGAACCTGAACACATCACCACTGAGATTAACCCACACACACACAGCACCTGAACACATCACCACTGTGATTAGTGCTGCATTCAGGTGCTGCTCGGGTGGTCACAGTTTCTGAGTTGTGAAGTCGTTCTTCTGACTTCAGTGTGTTCAAGTGATTTCAGTTTAGAAAGTCTGAATCTTGTAACAACAGCACAGAAAAAAGAGTTGATGGTACGAATAAGAAGATCAGTGAAATGTTACTGATAAAAGTTATATCTGAGATCAAAGTTGATGTGCAATACCTGAATTAATTAAAAGTATGTTAACATCAACTAAACATATTTGTCCCCCATGTGATGACAAATCTGACGTCAAGTCAGGAAGTCGGGCCCCTCATTCTTCAGCAGGTGTTCATGTGACTTTTACAACTCAGAAACTCGTTTTTCTAATGTGTCAGACACCACGTGAATGCAGCATCACACACACACCAACAGAAACCTCACAGCAGCTTGAAAGTACATTTTTGCTTGTTTTTTGTTTGTGCTGAGCCTGAAGTGACGTGTTTTTAAAACAATGCTCACCTGGTGTGCAACTCTTCTTCCTGCCGTCTTCAAAGGCGGTCTTTGTTAATATTTGTGACACCCCCCCCCCCCCCCAGGAGCTCGTAGGACTAAGAAGACATGGCCAATGACTTTCACTAAGGAGGAGCTGAAGGAGCGACTCACTCCGAAGCAGTACCATGTGACCCAGGAAAGGGGCACTGAAAGGTGGGAGGAACACCTGTTAGCATTGTTAGCTGTTTTTGCAAACTTTGACTAACATTTTGTACAGTGCATTCACAGGAGAGTTCACCGACCATAAAGACGAGGGGACGTACACCTGTGTGGTGTGTGGAGCTCCTCTGTTCAGGTGAGAGCTGTGACCAGGTGGTCATCATAAGATAAAGTTTGTTACAATAAAGAATCGTGTTAAAAAGATTTCCAAAACTAACTTTGATGTTTTTGTTTTTGTCTCAGCTCAAGCACTAAATTTGACTCTGGATCAGGTGAGGTTAACCTACGCTAAGAGTGAAAATACTAACATGTTGATGTTTGATAGGTATAATGTTAACATATCAACTACCTAATGTTAGCATGCTAATTTTAGCTAAAGAGCAGTAATACAGAGCTGAGGCTGATGGTGTCAAAGAGTTCTTCCTCAGGTGAACATGTCATTTCTTTAAAGCTGTCCCTCAGCTGTTTCTAACCTGAAGCTTTGATGAGTTCAGGGTGGCCAGCTTTCTTTGACCTGCTTCAGGAGGAGTCCATCTCAAACTCTGACGACTTCTCATACGGGATGCACCGAGTGGAGTCCACCTGCAGCCAGGTAACCTCCAACACCCAGTCCACCTTAAAACATTCACTCATTATCTACTGTATAACACCTGCAGCCAGGTAACCTTCAACACCCAGTCCACCTTAAAACATTCACTCAATATCTACTGTATAACACCTGCAGCCAGGTAACCTCCAACACCCAGTCCACCTTGAAACATTCACTCATTATCTACTGTATAACACCTGCAGCCAGGTAGCCTTCAACACCCAGTCCACCTTAAAACATTCACTCAATATCTACTGTATAACACCTGCAGCCAGGTAACCTCCGACACCCAGTCCACCTTAAAACATTCACTCATTATCTACTGTATAACACCTGCAGCCAGGTAACCTCCGACACCCAGTCCACCTTAAAACATTCACTCATTATCTACTGTATAACACCTGCAGACAGGTAACCTCCGACACCCAGTCCACCTTAAAACATTCACTCATTATCTACTGTATAACACCTGCAGACAGGTAACCTCCGACACCCAGTCCAACTTAAAACATTCACTCATTAGCTACTGTGTAATGCTGCATTCAGGTGCTGCTCGGGTGCTCCAAGTTTCCGAGTAGGGAAATCTTCAGTTCAGAAAGTCTGAATGTTTGTATCAACAGCACAAACAAGCGTTGATGGTACGAAGAATAAGATCAGTGAAAAGTTTGATGCAGCATAACACCTGCAGACAGGTAACCTCCAACACTCATGCTGCATTCATGTGGTGTCGGACACATCAGAACAACAAGTTTCCGAGTTGTAAAAGTCACATGAACACCTGCTGAAGAATGAGGGGCCCAACTTCCTGACTTGACGTCAGATTCGTCATCACATGGGGGACAAATATGTTTAGTTGATGTTAACATACTTTTAATTAATTCAGGTATTGCACATCAACTTTGATCTCAGATATAACTTTTATCAGTAACATTTCACTGATCTTCTTACTCGTACCATCAACTCTTTTTTCTGTGCTGTTGTTACAAGATTCAGACTTTCTAAACTGAAATCACTTGAACACACTGAAGAAGAACGACTTCACAACTCAGAAACTGTGACCACCCGAGCAGCACCTGAATGCACCATCAGTCCACTTTGCCTACATTTTAAGTCTCTCTCTCTCTCTGTTTTCAGTGTGGCGCTCACCTGGGGCACCTGTTTGATGACGGACCTCGCCCAACAGGAAAACGTTACTGCATTAACTCCGCCTCCCTGGACTTCCAGGCCAAAGACTCCTCCCCCTCCTCAAGAGCTGAAGGAGGGGCCAAACTGGGAGGTGAAGAGAAAACAGAGCTCTGAGAAGTAGACCCACCTGTGTCCACACCTGAAAACATTTTACAGTCTAAAAAACTGGGGGGGCGTGGAGGTGACAGGTGGGGGTATAACAGTATATTTATATTTATAGTGTTTATAGATGATATTATAATATTGAACGTGTATTTTTGAAGTGGTATTAAGAATAATATGAAGTCATCTGTGGCCTTTAAGTTTGATGAAACTTTGAATATCAAATCTTCTTAATGACTGTGTTTCTTTCACCAAAAATAAAGAAATTACAAATATTGAACGTCATGTCAGAGTGTGATTATTTTCCCCTTGAGGTTCAGCAAACACTAACATGTTTATTAATATGTTCTTTATATCAGTGTATATATATACACTGATATAAAGAACATATTAATGTTCTTAATATGTATACATCAAATATGGTGGTAACCATGGTTACACAGTTATACTGCAGTCGCCCCAAGAAAGATTTTCAGGGACTTTCCTCGGATAACCTGTCTGATCCTGTTCTGCCTAGTAACAGTGGAAGCGGATTTTTGATTGGCTGATGAAATAAAAGTGGGTTAGGCAGCTCGTTAAAGCTGCGATCCCTTTCTACTTTCACTTCATTCGGCGCAAAGAGGAGACTGAACCTGACACTGAACGCAGCACCTTTACCTGAAGAGGAATCATCAGAGAAACGAAGATGAAGCTGTTTCTGAGTCTGTTTGTCCTGGTGGCAGTCTGCAGTGCTCAGCAGAAACACAGTGAGTATAACTATCATCATATAATACTTCTTTATCTATCTATTAATAACTCTTTCCACAAGTGGAAATGTACATACCTTGTATTATTCTATTATTGTATTTTTTCTCCCTTTATTTAACTGATGTAAGTATGTTTGATTTTTAACTTCTTGTTATTTTTGATAATTATATTCCTGTTTCCTGTTTCTTGAGCTGTTGTGACAAAGACATTTCTCCCATGGGGGATCAATAAAGTTTATCTTTATCTTAACTATACTTTATAGGCTACTCTGCTCATTAACACCGCTTAATCTATCATAAACACTAAATACTGCTGTTTTTAAAACTTTAAATTCTTTGTTTTAACAAGTATAAATACTGCACAACACCTGAAACCGCGTAAGAGTGAGACCTCTGTCGTCCAACATATCTTTGTTTCTGATCGACTGATTGGTCCATACTGTCTCTTGTTGTTAACATATAAAACCTTAAACTGTTTGTGACTCAGTGGAATTCCCCGAAACGATTAGTTTCGTTTTCCTCTAAACCCTGTGTGTTGTAGCAGCGCTCCCTGCCGGTCACAGATGGAACAGAGCTTTCATTTACACAGTGGCTGAATCTCGATGTCTTCCCTAAACCCTGAGCCCTTACTGACTTTATTGACGTCACCTGGAAAGTGATTAAGTGCATGAGGCTGCGAGGGCTCCAATGGTTAAATACAAATGGGACAGCACTTTGCAACTTCTCTGTAACCATGACAACATGATTTCATGTAGGAAAGCTTATTTTATGTTTTTTTTTACTTTACTCCCTCACAGCCATGGCGCTTATAAAAAGTTCTGCTCAATATAGGCCTATTATATAAATGTATTTGTTGTGGAATAAATAAAGGTTTATCTTACCTTATCTGTAGATATGCCCACTTACGGACAGATAGATAGAGGGACAACACTAAGCCCTCACAGACTTACCGGGAACATGTTTGAGGGTGGACATCGAGATTGAGCCAATAATCCTGTTCTGTCCTACCAGTCCCAATAACCTGTCAATCAGTTACCATCGAAACAAAAAAGAATGATTTTTTTTAATGAGAGCAGGAAATGAATGTCTCAGTGTGTTTATGGAGTCACAGCGCCCTCTGCAGTAAGCAGCTGTAAACATGGCGGTGTGATGACATCACTTCCTGTTCTGTGTACCTGCAGCTCACCCTAAGGTCCAGGTGTACAGCAGTGCCCGCGGCGAGTTCGGGAATAAGAACACCCTGATCTGTCACGTGAGCGGCTTCTACCCTCCCGACCTGACGATCACCCTCCTGAAGGGGGACAAGGAGCTGGCTGGATGTAACCAGACCGACCTGGCCTTTAACAAGAACTGGCACTTCCACCTGACCAGGAGCGTGGACTTCTCCCCCACCACAGGAGACGAGTACACCTGTCGGGTGCAGCACGGCTCCAACATCCACAACTACGCCTGGGGTCAGTTCACCTGTTTAACACCTGTATGAATGAACATACAGGGAGATAACACACCTGTGTAATGTTTGAATTGTGTGTGTGTGTGTGTGTTTGTTTTGTTATTTACGGTGTTTGTTTTTTGTTTTTGTCTCCACAGAGCCAAACATGTAACTCGTCTTCATCGTCTTCAGGTTTACTGTCCTCATCAATCAACAGGATCAGTTTATTCTTCATCTTCATCCTCCTCCTTAAAGAGGCTGTGTTTCTGGATCAGCTGATTGTCTGCAGGGTTTGATTGTTTTTTTGGGGTTTCTGAGTTTTTCAAATCATGTGTGTAAATATGAAACTGATTCTGTTTATTAAATCTTCACATTAATGAGTGATCAGCTGATTGATATGTAAACATTGTGGATCAGCTGATTGATATGTAAACATTATGGATCATCTGATTGATATGTAAACATTAGAGATGAACGTGATCAGCTGTTTTCTTTGGTAAACTCGAGTTTTGAAGGTTCTGTTGGTTTTTCTTCTTTGAATAAAATAACCATTGTTTTTGTTTTGAATTAAACTTTATAAAATAAAGTGATTTGTGAACAAAATGTGTTTTTATTTATTGAACTCATCGGTGTTAGAAACAAGTCCAAGGTGCGAGACTGTACTGAGGTCAGAACTGTTCATTTAAGACGAGTGGTGCTCATCACCTGAGCGATTCAGAGACCTGGCCAGGTGGGATCCATCATTTCAGCTCCCAGAACAGCTGATTTGAGTTAAATAGACTCGGGCCGTTTCCGAATATCCAGAGTTCAGTAGGCAGTACGTACTATTCAGTATGGAGTTTCAGTATACTGAACTTTCGTGGTCATTCAGTGGTCATTTTTTGGGTCCACCTCAGTATACTGAACATTTTAGTGTGGATAATAACTTCTGGGTTTTATGCAGTATGGATCAGATGCATCCTTTCAGGAAAATAATTGTATTTTACCCACAATGCTGTGCGAATTTAAACGTAAATCGTCACGTCATGTGCGCCTCCAAATCAAAACAAACGAGCGTGGACTAATTGAATCAATTTTTAATCTAGAGTTAAAGTCCCGACTGAAATCACTACTTTTAATTAACAACAGAAAATATAACAAATGTCTGCATTATTATAAAACCTTTTCCCCTCTATTTAAATAATGATTTAACTATTTAAATGAGTCTTTATTGGTTTATTTTACTTTATATTCCGTATCTTACTGTCTTTCATTTGTACTTTCCTTTATGTACTGTATGTTATCTAGTTATTTAATCTGTATTTTACTTGATTTACATTGTGATATTGTATTTTTTTTTACCTGACTGTATATGTGCATTACTCTTAAAACGGGTGGATGCGGCCGGTTCGGGTAACGTAAATGACGCCACTTCCATACTGAATGAATCGGAAGAAGTAGGAACAAATAACTGCCTTCTGTGCACGCCTACTGAATAGTAGGTACTAACAGTATACAGCACGGATAGTAGGTACTGACTACTGACAGATTGAGTAGGTAATAATAATAATAATACATTTAATTTGTAACGCACTTTACATTTTCGCAAAAAAAATCTCTAAGTGCTACAGGAAGAAAAAATAAAATAGAAATAAAAACAAATTTAATAAACTAAGCAACTAACGAAACTAAAAGCACAAGCAAAGGCTTTGTTAAAAAGGCAGGTTTTTAGGGCCCTTTTAACTTGGCAATTCGGATGCACCCTCGGAGTTCAGTGCGTAGGCTACACCACGACTATGAAAAGCCAACATGAATGGAGCCCCGATACCACGATTCACCATGGCAACAGGTGACGGGAAAGGTCCTTGCGCTTTAACCCTCTCGACCTATCGGCTTCATCTTCATGCGGACAAACGCCGAGTTTGAACATGTTTTTAAAAGTAAGTGCTGCAGCGGCCAAGAGGAGAGATGTTTAAACATTGAAGTTTAAACGTAGTCTATTGGTTGAATATGAAATCTCACCTGCAGGACAACCACAGGTGAAACAACGTTCTCACCCTCCAGCGGGAGGAAAGAGGACGCTTGGAAGCTGGTCAAAATGAAATCAAATAATAAAGTTCAAAATAAAGGCTCATGGTGGTACCTGACTTTAATCTGACATGTTGAATTAATGTGCATGACCTTAAAGTCCAACATCATGCCGGTTTCACTTACGTCTATCCGGATAGGTTCATCCATCAGACCAACACCTTGTGGGCTGGATGGATTCATTATTAACACCTTGTGGGCTGGATGGATCATGATCATGATCATAGGCGGTTCTAGGCAGGGGCCAACAGGGGCCAGGGCCCCTGTAACACTGAGCTTGGTCCCCCCTGTGGCGACCCCTCCAAAAGGAAGAGCCCCCCTAATAACACATACACAGTATTTGACTCAACAACCGGACTCACAATCTAGTATTAAATACTGTTACTGAAACAAATATAAATTATGGTTACAATGTTATAATTCACTTAGCAGACGCTTTTATCCAAAGCGACATACAACACTAATCCATTCATACACCGCCACTTAAGCAGAGAGAGCAATTCAGGGTTAAGTGTCTTGCCCAAGGACACATGGGACATATTGCTCAGCTGGGGATCAAACCCTCAACCTTTCAGTTGAATGGAGATGACTCTGCCAACTGAACCACAGCCGCCCACTCTGTCATGGTATTTTATGTTAAGGTATTTAATGATGTGGGCTATTATTTGGCATAATATTTATATATTTAAAGCGATCAGCTTTGTCTATTTTTCACTTGGGTTTAATGTTCCCCTCTTACAAAACAACTGGCCCCAGTTTGGCTCCCTCAGTAAAAGTGGTCTAGAACCGCCACTGTTCATTATTAACACCTTGTGGGCTGGAAGGATTCTGTTCATGCTAAATGTAATAATGATCTGAGAGCTTCTATAAGAATGTTACAGCTGTGGAAAGTCATAACTTTATTTTGAAAATCTATAATTCTTAACGCTGAAAAAAGTTATTTTATAAATCTATAATATTACGGCACACGAGGGCTGAATGACTTCTTATTTTTACCTTCTCTAACAAACGAGGCCTTTCTTCCTCATGGCTTCATCAGGCTTGTGATGAAGACGATCAACAGGTGATTTCAAACGGGGGGGGGTCAGCTAAAACAAGAAATCAGTCAGCGTCTTGTCTGCGGTGAATCTTCTCATCTGTCAAGATGACGTTTCCTGCCACCACCTGCATCAAAAAATACAGACTGACAGTGCTGGTCACAGAGCGTCCACATTTATACATAAATATATTTATAATATTATGGTAAATATATGACATATACAGTAAGTTAGGTAATACAGCGTGTGTATGCGTGTGTTTGTTTGACAGCATGTCAATATATGCCAACATGTCGGACGTTTTTCTACCTGGCAACAGCTGCTGTTTTATTTCCATTGATGTAACCTATCAGGGACGTACTTAGCTTATTTTTTCATAGAGTTTTTCATACGTACACAGAAAATCAGTCCTGTGGGCGGGGTTAAAAGAGTTTCTGGGTGTCTGTTTGGCCGCGGAGCGTTAACCCCGCCCCGGCGGTCCGCCTCGCTGACACAAACACCCCTGAGCAGACGATAGAGATCTATAGTTTCGGTTTGGACCGTCGGAGACATTTCACCGAGTGTTTCTCCGAACATTTTCTTCTATAAGAGTCGGGACAGAGAGAAGAACCATGAAGAATGTAATGTTCTCTCTGCTGCTCTGTGTTCTCCTTCACACGGTGTGTTCAAAGTCCGGGAAATGTGAGTACTTCTCTTCTGTAATAATGGCGCTGCGTCACAAAGACGGAGAGAGGCCGGAAATATATACTGAGTGAATTATACACCTGAATATCAGAGGTGTAAAGTAACGAATTACATTTACTCGCGTTACTGTAATTGAGTAGTTTTTGGTGTACTTTACTACTTTTTAAGTCGTTTATAAAATCTGTACTTTTACTTTTACTTAAGTATGTTTTCTGTTAAGTATTGTAATTCGTTACATTTTAAATCACATCCGTTACTGAGTAAAAGGGTTAAAATAGGCCTGCTATGAACACATTTAGTTCCGGAAAGTTTTTCACAATAAAAGCCCGTTATTACCATCTCTGTGATGTGCTTTTATTTTGAAGCAGACGTATGAGGAAGTTGGGTGTTGTAAGCTGCTGCAACTTAACACATCTCAGATGTGTGAAAGTAAATACTTCAAACCAAACACATTCAGTTAGAAGCTTCAGTAGCTAATAGGTAAACAAACAGTGACTAAAACATCTAATATAATCTCATAAAGGCTCATTTTAAAACAATAAATGGATTATCTTTCATCTCAGGTTTAGTTGCAGCTACATCAGCCTTTGAGGCTGCATTTGAGACTAAGAATAACTAAAAACACTAAAATACTCTACACTGTTTATGATTGAGACAAAGACCCCTTTAGTATTTTCTTAAATAGTTTAAACATTTTCCTTCATAAAACAGCTGATTACTTGAACATATAAGCCTTGAATATGTATTCCATTATTTATATTTTGTTTTTGTCAATGGGGTAGAAAAGAAAATGTTTATCTGAAAAGATAAACTTTGCAAAGATTTGCCTTTAATTAAAAAAAACTTTGAGATTATTATCCTCTCGTCCTTTTTCACGTCTACGCGTTGTTAAAAAAAAAGTAACTAAGTAACTTTTACTCAAAATACATTTTAAACGAGTTACTGTTTACTTTTACTTGAGTACATTTTTAAACTGGTACTTTTACTTGTACTTAAGTAAAAGTTCATTAAAGTAACAGTACTTAGTAGAATATATTAGTACTCTTTACACCTCTGCTGAATATACTGTTTCTAAAGTTATACTGTTAATAAAGTTATACTTTTAATAAAGTTATACTGTTAATACAATTATACTGTTTATAAAGTTATACTGTTAATAACATTTTACTGTTAATAAAGTTATACTTTTAATAAAGTTATTCTGTTAATAAAATTATACTGTTAATAAAGTTATACTGTTTATAAAGTTAGTGTTTATAAGAGAAGTTTGATCTAGTTTTATGTTTTAAATACAGAATCACCTGTTTGAGCTTTTTTATAACTTTATTGAAGTCTGAACTCTGCTGTTACAGGGCGTGGTTTAAATAAAGTTTTATTGTTGTTGTTGTGATGGGGACTGCACACAGCAGGGCGGGTCTTCTACATTTTTTCGGCTTGTCTCATTCACATGTCTCCTGTCTCCTAACAGCAAAGGTGAACGTGTACAGTCGTGACCTGGGTCAGTGGGGGAAGGAGAACACCTTGATCTGTCACGTGAGTAATATCCCCCCTCCACCTGTCATCTCCATCGACCTGCTGAAGAACGGACAGGTGATCCAGGGGACCAATCAGTCCGACCTGGTTTTTGACGGGGACTGGGACTACTACTTGACCAAACATGTTACCTTCACCCCCGCCAAAGGAGACCGGTACTCGTGCAGGGTCACACACATGGGCAAAGTGAACAACTACGAGTGGGGTACGAACCTCTGCAAGATCTCCACTACATGATCTCCACTACATGTTCTACATTAAACTACATGTTCTGCATTAAACTACATGTTCTACTACATGTTCTGCATTAAACTACATGTTCTACTACATGTTCTGCATTAAACTACATGTTCTACTACATGTTCTACATAAAACTACATGTTCTACTACATGTTCTACTACATGTTCTGCATTAAACTACGTGTTCTACTACATGTTCTACATTAAACTACATGTTCTACTACATGTTATACATTAAACTACATGTTCTACTACATGTTATACATTAAACTACATGTTCTACTACATGTTCTACATTAAACTACATGTTTTACTACATGTTATACTACATGTTATACATTAAACTACATGTTCTACTACATTTTCTGCATTAAACTATGTGCTCTACTACATGTTATACATTAAACTACATGTTTTACTACATGTTATACATTATACTACATGTTTTGCTATATGTTATACATTAAACTACATGTTCTACTAAATGTTATACATTTAACTTCACGTTCTACATTTAACTACACGTTCTGCATCGAACTACACATTCTACATTAAACTATATGTTCTTTAAACTACATGTTCTACTACCTGTTACACATTAAACTACATGTTCTACTACATGTTCTACATTAAACTACATGTTTTACTACATGTTATACATTAAACTACATGTTTTACTACATGTTATACATTTAACTACACGTTCTGCATCGAACTACACATTCTACATTAAACTATATGTTCTTTAAACTACATGTTGTACTACCTGTTCTACATTAAACTACATGTTCTACGACATGTTCTACATTAAACTACATGTCCTACTACATGTTTTACTGTAGTGTTGTCTACAAAATGTTTATATTGAACATGTTGAAACTGTGTGAGGTTCTACATAGTTAATGTTCTCATCATGTTTGTTTCTCTTCAGAACCGGATGAGTGAGTTCGGTGCTTGGCAGCGTTCCAGGTATGTTCTGTATTTTCTGTATGTTCTCTGCTTGCCGTTGCTTAGTTACTGTGTGAGTAACACACTGTGTTGTTTGTTTTTTGACCACAGGGACAGAACAGAGGAACGTTCTCTCTGGAACCATGTTTTTTTTGGACAGATTGGACATCAATGGAACAGATTGTTTTTGTTTTTTTAAATAATTCGACTTAAACCATCATGAAGCGATCTGTGACACCAGAAAGACTCCATCAGTCCAAAGTGTTCATGATTACTGAACAGAGACATTAGACAAACATTAAAGCTCCTTTAATCAATGATGACATATCAACATTTAAAAGTCAAACAGCAGAAACTTCATGGAGCTTTACGAGCTAGATGTGATTATTAGAAATGTTCATATTTGATTCATGTAAATAATTTTTCTAATGTTTTAGAGGATTAGCCCAATGATTGTAATGACTAATAAATGATGTAAAGGTTAGGGTTAAGATTAAATTCTCTTCAGGTGCACGTCCACAAAGCCACTTACAAGAAAGAAGCCGTTTAAGGACATTGAGTGTGCTGTCTCTTCTCTCTTCTACTTCTAAATGATGTTAATAAAATACACAAATGTCAAATATGATATGAACACATAACTCCACCAGATGAACCCTGTTTTTAAAAACCGAGCTCAGTATCTCTGTTCACCTTTTAAACAATAAAAGTGATGATAAAGTGTTCCACTGTTTACTGACTGGTTCTTTATCTATTTATTACTATGGTTCAATGTTGATCATTATGATCTCTTACAGCTCAGATTACAGACGTTTCATTGGTCCATCAGTTGAGTGTAAGCCGTCATATTTTGAGATCTATCAGACAAAGAACCGTCACGACACGTGAACTACAGAACTGTCACAACATGTGAACTACAGAAACTATTATTCTATAATTGTATTTTTTCTTCCTTTATTTAACTGATGTACATATGTTTGATTTTTAACTTCTTGTTATTTTTGATAATTATATTCCTGTTTCCTGTTTCTTAATCTAACATAAACAGCTGCTGTTTTTAAAACTTTAGATTCTTTGTTTTAACAAGTATAAATACTGCACAACACCTGAAACCGCGTAAGAGTGAGACCTCTGTCGTCCAACATATCTTTGTTTCTGATCGACTGATTGGTCCATACTGTCTCTTGTTATTAATATATAAAACCTTAAACTGTTTGTGACTCAGTGGAATTCCCCGAAACGATTAGTTTCGTTTTCCTCTAAACCCTGTGTGTTGTAGCAGCGCTCCCTGCCGGTCACAGATGGAACAGAGCTTTCATTTACACAGTGGCTGAATCTCGATGTCTTCCCTAAACCCTGAGCCCTTACTGACTTTATTGACTGCGAGGGCCCCAATGGTTAAATACAAATGCGACAGCACTTTGCAACTTCTCTGTTACCATGACAACATGATTTCATGTAGGAAAGCTTATTTATGTTTTTTACTTTACTCACTCAGCCATAATAATATACTTTTTATAATAGCTTATAAAAAGTTCTACTCAATATAGGCCTATTATATAAATGTATTTGTTGTGGAATAAATAAATAAAGGTTAAGCTTATAAACATAACAGACTAATGGTAATGGTAGATGGACTTGAGCTTTTATAGTGCTTTTCTAGTCTTCCGACTACTCAAAGCGCTTTTACAACGCCTGTCACACCCACCCATTCACACCCTGATGGTAGTGATCACTATGTAGTATCATCAGAAGTAACTAATCCCATTCATACACCACCACTGAAGTAGCGGGAGCAATTCAGGGTGAAGTGTCTCGCCCAAGGACACATCGGACATGTTGCTCAGCTGGGGATCGATCCCTCGACCTTCCAGTTGAGAGGCAACGACTCTACCAACTGAGCCACAGCCACCCACTTATATGTGTTTGGTTTCTCTTGTTCACGTTTCTAGACTCGTAGTAGAGTTCTGAATTAGCGTTAGTTTCCAAATAAACTTTTTTAGTACACTGTAAATAGAGCGTTGTTTCACCTTCCTGTTTTTTTTATCATCTCTACCTTTTTCCGTTTTATAGTGTTTGTTTACCCTTCAATTGTTGTGGGGTTCCCCGGGAAATCATATGTTTCATGTCACAATGCTATGAACTCTGGCTAATTCCCTGACGTTAAGTATGTAGATATGCCCACTTTCGGACAGGGTGCAAGGAGCTAGCTGGATGTAACCAGACCGATCTGGCCTTTAACAAGAACTGGCACTTCCACCTGACCAGGAGCGTGGACTTCGCCCCCGCCACAGGAGCCGAGTACACCTGTTGGGTGCAGCACGGCTCCAACACCCACAACTACGCCTGGGGTCAGTTCACCTGTTTAACACCTGTATGAACGAACACATCTGTTTAACACCTGTATGAATGAACACATCTATTTAACACCTGTATGAATGAACACACCTGTTTAACACCTGTATGAATGAACACATCTGTTTAATACCTGTATGAATGAACGCATCTGTTTAACACCTGTATGAATGAACACATCTGTTTAACACCTGTATGAATGAACACAACCGTCACAACACATGAACTAAAGAACCATCACAACACGTGAACCGTCACGACACGTGAGCTAAAGAAACGTCACAACACGTGAACTAAAGAACCCTCACAACACATGAACCAAAGAACCATCACAACACTTGAACTAAAGAACCATCACAACACGTGAACTAAAGAACCCTCACAACACATGAACTAAAGAACCGTCACAACACGTGAACTAAAGAACCCTCACAACACATAAACTAAAGAACCCTCACAACACATAAACTAAAGAACCATCACAACACGTGAACCAAAGAACCCTCACAACACGTGAACCGTCACAACACATGAACTAAAGAACCGTCACAACACGTGAACGTCACAACACATGAACTAAAGAATCATCACAACACGTGAACTAAAGAACCGTCACAACACGTGTACCAAAGAACCCTCACAACACCTGAACTAAAGAACGTCACAACATGTGAACCAAAGAACCGTCACAACACGTGAACTCCTGAGATGTCACCTGCACGGAGTCCCCTCTTCCCACCTCCTACTCCACCAGCAGCCCCACCTATGACTCTTTATACTGCTCAGGTCAAGATGATGCTGGACAGACTGAAGCCAAGGAAAGCAGTGGGGCCCGATGACATCAGCCCAAGGCTACTGAAGACTTGCTCTTCAGAGCTGTGTGGTATCCTAACACACCTGTTCAACCTGAGCTTGCGTTTACAGAAGGTCCCAAGGTTGTGGAAAGCATCTTGCCTGGTACCTGTCCAAAAAAAGACCCATCCCACTCACCACAATGACTACAGACCGGTAGTGCTCACCTCACATATTATGAAGACATTTGAGAGACTTGTCCTCTTCTACATCAGGACTAGTGTGTCAACTCAAATGGATCCTTTACAGTTTGCATATCAGCCCAACATAAGTGTCGCTGATGCCCTCATTTACATGCTGCAGAGGGCGTACACACATCTGGACACCCCTGATGCATCTGTAAGGATTACATTCTTTGACTTCTCAAGCGCCTTTAACACCATTCAGCCCTGACTGCTAGGGGAGAAGATGGAGAAGATGAAGGTGGATCCATTACTGGTACTGTGGTGTTTGAATTACCTTTTCCTCAGACCACAGTACGTGGGCCTACAGAACAATGTCTCAAACACCATCCTGAGCAGCACAGGGGCTCCACAAGGAACTGTGCTGGCTCCATTCCTGTTCACCATCTACACAGCGGACTTCCAATACAACACCAACAGCTGCTTTTTGCAGAAAGTTTCAGATGACACAGCTGTTGTCAGCCTCATCAAAGGAGGCAATGAGGAGGAGTATAGAGACACAATAAACAACTTTGTGGAGTGGAGTGCACACAATAACCTCCATCTCAACACCACAAAAAACGAAGGAGATAGTTGTGGATTTCAGGAGGAGGAGGACTCAACCAACATCAATCACCATCAGGGGCACTGAGGTGGAGGTGGTCGCCAACCACAGGTACCTTGGTGTGCAGCTCAACAGTGAGCTGGACTGGAAGAGTCATATGGAGGCAGTGTACAGGAAGGGACAAAGTCAACTGTATTTTTTAAAGAGGCTAAGGTCATTCAACATCTGCCAACCCCTGCTGTGCAGTGTCTACCATTCAGTGGTGGCCAGTGCTCTGTTTTTTGCTGTGGCCTGTTGGGGAGAAGGCGCCCGTACAGCGGACAAAAACAGACTGGACAAGCTGATAAGGAAGGCCGGCTCAGTGGTCGGGGCTGAGCAACTAACGGTCCAGCAGGTGGCAGAACAAACTGGGTTCAATAATGACCAACCCCACTCACCCACTCCACACCCTGAAGGTGATCAAGAGCAGCACCTGCATATCAGAGACTGATTGCACCAATATGCAAAACTGAGAGACACAGGAAGTCTTGTATACCAGCTGCTATAAGGTTTTACAATGCACTTTTTTTTTTTTTTTATTGTATTTTAACTTTTTAAGTATGGAAGCTATCTGATGAAATGTGTGGTGTTATGTCTGTCTTGAAGCTGTTGTGGCACTGTAATTTCCTGTAAAGGATTATTAAAGGATCTATCTATCTATCTATCTATCTAACCAAAGAACCCTCACAACATGTGAACTAAAGAACCCTCACAACACGTGAACTAAAGAACCCTCACAACACAAAAAAAGAAGTAATTTTATTATTATATTATTCTTTTTGTATTTTTTACATTATATAATAATTATTCTATTCATTATTATTATTATTATTATTATTTTAGTTGACGATTATTGATTAATATTATATTTCTTATTATTATTGTCATATGCATGCTTTTGTTGTGAAAAGCTGTGCCGGACGTTATTACAGGAAGCTGAAGACTCGGCGCATGCGTGTGGACTCCCGGACGTGTGGTTTTTGAGCAGCATGGCAGCGATAGGAGTTCATTTCGGATATACGTGCGCATGTGTGGCGGTTTTTAAGGTGAGTTTCTACCTGAGTGAGTATTTAACTGACTGATGTCCGTCGAAAGATCGACACATTTGATCTAAAGCGACCTGTGTGTGTGTGTGTGTGTGTGTGTGTGTGTGTGTGTGTGTGTGTGTGTGTGTGTGTGTGTGTGTGTGTGTGTGTGTGTGTGTGTGTGTGTGTGTGTGTGTGTGTGTGTGTGTGTGTGTGTGTGTGTGTGTGTGTGTGTGTGTGTGTGTGTGTCTGTCTGTCTGTCTGTCTGTCTGTCTGTCTGTGTGTGTCTGTGTGTAGGATGGACGTGCCGATGTCGTTGCTAACGATGCCGGAGACAGAGTGACTCCAGCTGTGGTGGCCTACAGAGACACTGAACAGGTAAACACACCTTTGATATGTTTATTGTTGATATTTAATATTATACCTTTGTACAAAGAGACCACAGTTTACCAAAGTAAAATTCCTTGTGTGTTTAAGCATACCTGGCCAATAAAGCTGATTCTGATATTTGATTTTTTTTTGGGGGGGGTTCAACTGTACAGGTTCATACTATGAACATACTATGAGGCCTGCAACTTGCGACTGTTGTGATCGTCAACTAGTTTATCGATTATTGAAATGATTCATTGACCAATCGGATGTTTTCTACGAATACTTCATGGCTCTTATTTCTCTATCAACATTCAAATCCAACATTTCTCTTTCGTACTCAAACTATGCCATGAAAAATGTTCAGCCACATTTTTGTCTTTAAACCTAACGAGTGTTAGCGTCAGACTGATCCTTTAGTTTGAATCCCTATAACTTTAATAATACGGTCAGGTTTGCTCTGGAAAGAGAAAGACGAGAGGGGGGAGACAAACGTAAAGCAATCTCAGGGAACGGTTTAATGAGAGGGATTGGAAATGTAAACCAGAGAGAAAACACTGCATGGCTGAAACTTTGGATTATGGAGATGAATGTGAGAAATTATTTTTAAAAGACAGACATCCTTCTCTTCTAACGCTCGCATATTACCGACATGCTCACTTGACAGTCAAGGTCGCTTAGTATAAAACCTGCAGGCGATCCTTTTCTTATACTGGGGTAAATTATTATTATTGGTGGTAGAGCGAGTGAGGAAAGAGACTGAAGTCAGCAAGTGTGTGTGACAGTTGCGTTGTTGTCATGACCGGAGCAGCTGCTGCTTGCTGTCATAGACTGTATATAAGATACAGATCATATAAATTACTTACAGTCTACCTTAACCCTGCTGAGGTGTTTAAGTGATGGGGGTTAGCCCTGAAGTTAGCTCCAACTTCAGCCCTGGAGCTGCCCGATAAGTCTCCCCTGTGCTGTGTGACTATGAAGCAGGAAAGGTTAAAATTTTAATTTGCAGCTTTGGGGACAAAATGCTCTGAGTTTAGAAGTTTGAGAACTGGTGGTGTTACATTTAGCAGAGAAAGTAAGGAAGCAAGATGGCTCACTCCACTCAGCTACATGGCTCTGAAGAAACTATGTTATGTCCGCAAAGCGTAAAAACAGTTGAGTTTGTGGGCGACTAATTTTGACATGCACTAATTTTGACATGCACCACATCCCGACATGCACCACATCCCGACATACACCACATCCAGACGTGCACCACATCCAGACGTGCACCACATCCAGACAAACACCACATCCAGACGTGCACCACATCCAGACGTGCACCACATCCAGACAAGCACCACATCCAGACAAGCACCACATCCAGACAAGCACCACATCCCGACGTGCACCACATCCCGACGTTCTCCACATCCAGACAAGCACCACATCCCGACATGCACCACATCCCGACATGCACCACATCCCGACATGCGCCACATCCCGACATGCGCCACATCCAGACATTAACCACATCCAGACATTAACCACATCCAGACATGCACCACATCCAGACATGCACCACATCATGACGTGCACCACATCCCGACATGCACCACATCCAGACATTAACCACATCCCGACGTGCACCACATCCCGACGTGCACCACATTCAGACATTAACCATATCCCGACGTGCACCACATCCAGACATTAACCATATCCCGACATGCACCACATCCAGACATTAACCACATCCCGACATGCACCACATGCTTGCACCCGCAGTTAATTTGTAATCCTAACATTAATAAATAGTAACATGTTCTATTTTTATGTTTGTTATGGTCTGTAGATAGTCGGGATTGCAGCGAAGCAGGGACGTTTCCGAAACGCTGCAAACACTGTGGTGAAGGTGAAACAAGTGCTGGGAAGAAGGTGACCCTATTTTTACTGTTGATTAATAACTGAAGCTCAGTCTGTTATCATTGATGAATCAATCATTGGTTCATTCACAGAGCAGCTTAACCCTCATGTCTCTGTGTTTCTGTTTCTGAGCAGCTTCGAAGATCCAGAGACTCAGACGCACGGATCAGAGACCAAGTGTCAGGTGAGTCACCTCCTCATGTGAGTCACCTCCTCATGTGAAAGTCACCTCCTCATGTGAGTCACCTCCTCATGTGAAAGTCACCTCCTCATGTGAGTCACCTCCTCATGTGAAAGTCACCTCCTCATGTGAGTCACCTCCTCATGTGAAAGTCACCTCCTCATGTGAAAGTCACCTCCTCATGTGAAAGTCACCTCCTCAAGTGAGTCACCTCCTCATGTGAGTCACCTCACAAGATAATTCAATCTGGTAAAGATATTTTTTATTTTTTTGCAACAGTGAAACAGGGGAGGAGAGGGATTTTGAGGGAGAGGGGTGGAATGAGATTGGGAGAGGGGAGGTCACATCCTGCCAGTGCATTTCACCCTCTCCCTATGATGGCTGCTCTTTTACTTTCAATTGAGTACATTTATTTGAGTTGAGGTATTATGTCAAATAATCACAGATTTAAGTCACAGATAATTTGGATTATTTGATTAGACCAGGAAATTGAGAAATAATAAAAATATATTTGCTGACTATAACACAGCGCTGTTTGACAGGTTGTGTGGAGAAGTTCACAGACTACAGCTGGCTGACATTACGATCGTTAAGTTATTGATTGTTGATATAAGCAGACACGGTGGAATTGAATGGACAAAAGTTGAACGTGCGTTCCCGACTCGGTCCATACGGATAGCGGATCAACCATGTTCCGTTGCATATTTGTAGTACAAGTCAACAGCAAAGGAGCAAGAACAAGGAGCCGCAGCTAGCCTACATCATATGTGGTTTAGTATAGTTTTAACATGACTGTTGGGATAAATATTTACCGCCATGAAGTGCATTGCTCTTTGAAATTAACTTGCCAAACGGAAAATCAACCTTCATTTATCGCTTGTGGGTGTCAGCGGAGCGTCATGAACCAGTCAAAAGAAACGAATAGTCAATCAGGTGGCTATCCAGCGCGAGCCGCATGCGTAAACGGATGAGAGGGGAGATGACTGCTAGAAGTCAGAGACGTTGTATGTAAGTTTATGTTCTGATTGTTCAACAGTCGTTTAATGCATTGATACTTTTAACATACATTCAGAGAGGATTTGATTTGCAATTTCAATTGTCTTTTTTTTCTTTTGGCGCTCGTGATTTTTCTTTAGCGCTGGGAAAACCTCTTTGGGGGGCGCCAAAGAATTCTCTATGCAGGAAAAACCCTGCCATGAGTATCTGCTTCAAACTGATATAACAATCTGCTCCGCTGTGGACTGAACCCACCTGAGCGACCTTTTAGCAGGAAGTTTATCCTGAGCAACCTTTGACCTTTTAGCAGGAAATGAAACGTGTGCTTATGTCAGAGGAAGGGGTGAGATGTAAAAACTACAACAGACATGTCAGCGCCCGTCAGACGGGGATATTTGAACTTCATCTGTGTAGAGGAGGAGTCGGAGGCACGCCGTCCATCTCTATACACAGTCTAAGGTTTATATGGACCCATGTTCAGTAAGAGGACTGTCTGGTCCTGGTCTCATCTAGTCTCTGTGGTCTTTGTTGTCCAGGTGGTGAACCGGGATCAGAAGGTGTTTTATGAGATCTCAGCAGGAGATCAGACTGATTTCGTTTCTCCAGAGAATGTTGCCAAACTCATCTTCAACAAGATGAAAGGTACACGCACACACATCACACAGACACACACATATCACGCAAACATAACACACAAACACGCATCACACAGACACACACATAACAAACACACACACACAACACACACACTCTCACAGATTTCGATTAGAGCCATGTTCTTTCCTCATTGGTCCCAGTTGGTCTGTGATTGGTCGTTTAGATGGTGACATTAAACAGGAAGTGTTTGTGTTTGTTTACAGAAACAGCTCAGTCAGCTGTTGGCTCTGATATCACTGAGGCCGTCATCACTGTCCCCTTTGAGTTTGCACATGCTCAGAAGAGAGCTCTGAGGTAGGTCATGGGACCGTTGGTGTCACGGTAACAGTGTGTGTGTCTTGTTAAGTTGTGTGTCTGTGTTGTGATGTGTGTGTGTGTGTGTCCACAGAGAAGCAGCTGAGGCTGCTGGCTTTCACGTCCTTCGTCTGATTCATGAACCGGCGGCAGCTCTTTTGGCGTACGATGTGGGACAGGAGAGTTCATCAGGGAAGAGGTGACACACACAAACTGCTGCTGAAGCAGTGCATGATGGGTGGTTACACCTGTCGTCTGTGACTCAGATCAGGTGTATCAGCTGCTGAAGCAGTGAATGATGGGATGGAAAATGTCTCTTTTTTTTTTTTTTCTTCATGAACTCGCTATTATGTCAACACCTGTATCTCTCTGATCTACGTTCAGACACTGATCTGTGTTCTACGTTCTCTGATCTGTGTTCTACTTTCTATGATCTTTGTTCTATGTTCTCTGATCTGTGTTCTCTGATCTGTGTGCTATGTTCTGTGTTCTACGTTCTCTGATCTGTGTTCTACTTTCTATGATCTGTGTTCTATGTTCTCTGATCTGTGTTCTCTGATCTGTGTGCTATGTTCTGTGTTCTACGTTCTCTGATCTGTGTTCTACTTTCTATGATCTGTGTTCTATCTTCTCTCATGTGTTCTCTGTTCTACGTTCTCTGATCTGTGTCCTCTGATCTGTGTGCTATGTTCTGTGTTCTACGTTCTCTGATCTCTGTTCTACATTCTCTGATCTCTGATCTCTGTTCTACGTTGTTTGTTCTCTGATCTGTGTTCTACCTTCTCTGTTCTCTGATCTCTGTTCTACCTTCTCTGATCTCTGTTCTACGTTCTCTGATCTCTGTTCTACGTTCTCTGATCTGTGTTCTACGTTCTCTGATCTCTGTTCTACGGCCCTTTCCGAATAGCCACAGTTCAGTAGGCAGTACGTACTATTCAGTATGGAGTTTCAGTATACTGAACCTTCGTGGTCATTCAGTGGTCATTTTTTGGGTCCACCTCAGTGCGAACATTTCAGTGTGGATAATAACTTCCGGGTTTCATGCAGTATGGATCGGATGCGTGCTTTCAAGAAATGAATTATATTTTACCACCCACAATGCTGTGCGAAATTAAACGTAAATCGTCACGTCCGCCTCCAAATCAAAACAAGCGAGCGTGGATTAATTGAATCAATTTTTAATCTAGAGTTTAAGTCCCAACTGAAATCGCTACTTTTAATTAACAACAGAGACTACGACAAATGTCTGCAATATTATAAAACCTTTCCCCCTCTATTTAAATAATGATTCATCCACCCGTAAAAAAACGGGTGGATGTGGCCGGTAACGCAAATGACGCCACTTCCGTACTGAATGAATCAAATGAAGTAGGAACAAATATCTGCCTACTGTGCGCGCCTACTGAATAGTAGGTACTAACAGTATACAGCACGGATAGTAGGTACTGCCTACTGCAAGATTGAGTAGGTACTTGGCGATTCAGATACAGCCTACGTTCTCTGATCTGTGTTCTACGTTCTCTGATCTGGGTTCTACGTTCTCTGATCTGGGTTCTACGTTCTCTGATCTGGGTTCTACGTTCTCTGATCTGGGTTCTACGTTCTCTGATCTGTGTTCTCTGATCTGTGTTCTACGTTCTCTGATCTGTGTTCTCTGTGTTCTCAGTCATGTTCTGGTGTGGAAGCTGGGTGGAACTTCCCTCAGTGTGACGGTTCTGCAAGTGAACGGAGGAATGTTCCGGGTTCTCAACACTCACACTGATCACAGCATCGGAGGAGAGAGCTTCACGCAGGCGCTCGCTCTGCACCTCGCTGCAGAGTTCAAACGGTACTGCTCACGTTACTGTTCTTATCATGAAATCTCACCGTGTTTGTTTGTTTGATGTCCTTTATTCAGATCACATGTTTGTTGTTCTTTTATACATGTTGTGTTTGTTGTTGTTAATACCTGTTGTTTATTTGTTGTTGTTTATACATGTGTTTGTTGTTGTTGTTTATACATGTGTGTTTGTTGTTTATACATGTTGTGTTTGTTGTTCTTTATACATGTTGTGTGTTTGTTGTTTATACATGTTGTGTTTGTTGTTGTTGTTTATACATGTTGTTGTATATACCTGTTTTGTGTTTGTTGTTTATACATGTTGTGTGTTTGTTGTTGTTTATACATGTTGTGTGTTTGTTGTTGTTAATACCTGTTGTTTATTTGTTGTTGTTGTATATACCTGTTGTGTGTTTGTTGTTCTTCATACATGTTGTGTTTGTTGTTGTTGTTTATACATGTTATTGTATATACCTGTTTTGTGTTTGTTGTTTATACGTGTTGTGTTTGTTGTTGTTGTTTATACATGTTGTGTGTTTGTTGTTGTTAATACCTGTTGTTTATTTGTTGTTGTTTATACATGTTGTGTTTGTTGTTGTTGTTTATACATGTTGTGTGTTTGTTGTTGTTAATACCTGTTGTTTATTTGTTGTTGTTTATACCTGTTGTGTGTTTCCGAGTAATGTTAGTCTGATAAAATATGGTTATTCTGTTTACAGTCTTGATCAGTTTAATTAAAAAAATATAACAGTTATATAAAACGGACAAAATTAGCCCCTCCCCATGGCTTCAGGGAGAGTCTATCATTCCGTAAAGATATTTTGTTAATGTTGTGTGTTGTTGTTGCTTATTAATGTGTGTATTTGTTGCAGCACGTTCAAACACGATGTTAGCTCTAACGTTCGTGCCATGTTGAAGCTGATGAGCGGAGCTGACATGGCCAAACACTCTCTGTCCTCTCTGGGATCAGCAAACTGTTTCGTCGACTCGCTGTATGATGGCGTTGACTTCGACTGCAGCATCTCCAGGTAACACGTCAGAAGACAGGTAACATGTCACATGATGAGTAACAATACGAGTAACAAGTCAAGAGGACAGGTAACATGTCACATGACGAGTAACACAACAAGTCACAAGTCAAGAGGACAAGTAACATGTTAGAGGACAGGTAACCTTTAGAGGACAGGTAACATGTTAGAGGACAGGTAACCTTTGGAGGACAGGTAACTTTTGGAGGACAGGTAACCTTTAGAGGACAGGTAATATGTTGGAGGACAGGTAACCTTTAGAGGACAGGTAACATGTTAGAGGACAGGTAACCTTTAGAGGACAGGTAACATGTTAGAGGACAGGTAACCTTTGGAGGACAGGTAACCTTTGGAGGACAGGTAACATGTTAGACGACAGGTAACATGTTGGAGGACAGGTAACATGTTAGACGACAGGTAACATGTTAGACGACAGGTAACATGTTAGACGACAGGTAACATGTTAGACGACAGGTAACATGTTAGACGACAGGTAACATGTTAGAGGACAGGTAACATGTTAGAGGACAGGTAACCTTTGGAGGACAGGTAACGTTTAGAGGACAGGTAACCTTTGGAGGACAGGTAACATGTTTGACGACAGGTAGCCTTTAGAGAACAGGTAACCTTTTAGAGAACAGGTAACCTTTGGAGGACAGTTAACATGTTAGACGACAGGTAACATGTTAGACGACAGGTAACCTTTGGAGGACAGGTAACCTTTGGAGGACAGGTAACCTTTGGAGGACAGTTAACATGTTAGACGACAGGTAACGTTTAGACGACAGGTAACCTTTGGAGGACAGGTAACATGTCAGAGGACAGGTAACACGTCAGAGGACAGGTAACACGTCAGAGGACATGTAACCTTTGGAGGACAGGTAACATGTTAGAGGACAGGTAACATGTTAGACGACAGGTAACCTTTAGAGGACAGGTAACATGTTAGACGACAGGTAACCTTTAGAGGACAGGTAACATGTTAGAGGACAGGTAACCTTTGGAGGACAGGTAACATGTTAGAGGACAGGTAACCTTTGGAGGACAGGTAACATGTTAGACGACAGGTAACATGTTAGAGGACAGGTAACATGTTAGACGACAGGTAACATGTTAGAGGACAGGTAACATGTTAGACGACAGGTAACATGTTAGAGGACAGGTAACGTTTAGAGGACAGGTAACATGTTAGAGGACAGGTAACGTTTAGAGGACAGGTAACCTTTGGAGGACAGGTAACATGTTAGAGGACAGGTAACATGTTAGAGGACAGGTAACCTTTGGAGGACATGTAACATGTTTGACGACAGGTAACCTTTAGAGAACAGGTAACCTTTGGAGGACAGGTAACCTTTGGAGGACAGTTAACATGTTAGACGACAGGTAACGTTTAGACGACAGGTAACCTTTGGAGGACAGGTAACCTTTGGAGGACAGGTAACGTTTAGAGGACAGGTAACGTTTAGACGACAGGTAACCTTTAGAGGACAGGTAACCTTTAGAGGACAGGTAACATGTTAGACGACAGGTAACATGTTAGAGGACAGGTAACATGTTAGACGACAGGTAACATGTTAGAGGACAGGTAACCTTTGGAGGACAGGTAACATGTTAGACGACAGGTAACCTTTAGAGAACAGGTAACCTTTAGAGGACAGGTAACATGTCAGAGGACAGGTAACATGTTAGACGACAGGTAACATGTTAGAGGACAGGTAACGTTTAGAGGACAGGTAACATGTTAGAGGACAGGTAACGTTTAGAGGACAGGTAACCTTTGGAGGACAGGTAACATGTTAGAGGACAGGTAACATGTTAGAGGACAGGTAACCTTTGGAGGACATGTAACATGTTTGACGACAGGTAACCTTTAGAGAACAGGTAACCTTTGGAGGACAGGTAACCTTTAGAGGACAGTTAACATGTTAGACGACAGGTAACGTTTAGACGACAGGTAACCTTTGGAGGACAGGTAACCTTTGGAGGACAGGTAACGTTTAGAGGACAGGTAACGTTTAGAGGACAGGTAACCTTTAGAGGACAGGTAACCTTTAGAGGACAGGTAACATGTTAGACGACAGGTAACATGTTAGAGGACAGGTAACATGTTAGACGACAGGTAACATGTTAGACGACAGGTAACATGTTAGAGGACAGGTAACCTTTGGAGGACAGGTAACATGTTAGACGACAGGTAACCTTTAGAGAACAGGTAACCTTTAGAGGACAGGTAACATGTCAGAGGACAGGTAACACGTCAGAGGACAGGTAACACGTCAGAGGACATGTAACCTTTGGAGGACAGGTAACATGTTAGACGACAGGTAACCTTTAGAGAACAGGTAACGTTTAGAGGACAGGTAACATGTCAGAGGACAGGTAACACGTCAGAGGACAGGTAACACGTCAGAGGACAGGTAACCTTTGGAGGACAGGTAACATGTTAGACGACAGGTAACCTTTAGAGAACAGGTAACATGTTAGACGACAGGTAACCTTTAGAGGACAGGTAACCTTTGGAGGACAGGTAACATGTTAGAGGACATGTAACCTTTAGAGGACAGGTAACATGTCAGAGGACAGGTAACACGTCAGAGGACAGGTAACCTTTGGAGGACAGGTAACATGTTAGAGGACATGTAACCTTTAGAGGACAGGAAACATGTTAGACGACAGGTAACCTTTAGAGGACAGGTCACATGTTAGAGGACAGGTAACATGTTAGAGGACAGGTAACCTTTAGAGGACAGGTAACATGTTAGACGACAGGTAACATGTTAGAGGACAGGTAACCTTTAGAGGACAGGTAACATGTTAGACGACAGGTAACCTTTAGAGGACAGGTCACATGTTAGAGGATAGGTAACATGTTAGAGGACAGGTAACCTTTAGAGGACAGGTAACATGTTAGAGGATAGGTAACATGTTAGAGGACAGGTAACCTTTAGAGGACAGGTAACATGTTAGAGGATAGGTAACATGTTAGAGGACAGGTAACCTTTAGAGGACAGGTAACATGTTAGACGACAGGTAACATGTTAGACGACAGGTAACCTTTTAGAGGACAGGTAACCTTTAGAGGACAGGTAACATGTTAGAGGACAGGTAACCTTTAGAGGACAGGTAACATGTCAGAGGACATGTAACCTTTAGAGGACATGTAACATGTTAGAGGACAGGTAACACGTTAGAGGACAGGTAACCTTAAGAGGACAGGTAACATGTTAGAGGACAGGTAACACGTCAGAGGACAGGTAACACGTTAGAGGACATGAAACCTTTAGAGGACAGGTAACACGTTAGAGGACATGTAACCTTTAGAGGACAGATAACACTTAACTTATCCATTCATACACATTCACACATTGATGGTAGAGGCTGCAGTGTAGAGTCCATCAGTATTAACTCATCCATTCATACACATTCACACACTGATGGTAGAGGCAGCTGAGTAAAGAGTCCATCAGTATTAACTCATCCATTCATACACATTCACACACTGATGGTAGAGGCTGCTGAGTAAAGAGTCCATCAGTATTAACTCATCCATTCATACACATTCACACACTGATGGTAGAGGCTGCTGAGTAAAGAGTCCGTCAGTATTAACTCATCCATTCATACACATTCATACACCACCGACGAAGCAGCAGAAGCAACTTGGGGTTAAGTGTTTAAGGACTAAGGACATGTGGCTGTTCGGGATCAAACCTCTGACCTGGTTGAGAGACGATCCACTACGATTGAGCGACTGTACCACTGAGTCATAGTGCCACACATGTTTAATGGAAGTTGTGATGATGGTTGTGTTTCCTCAGAGCTCGCTTTGAGCTGCTGTGCTCGTCACTTTTTAACAAGAGCATCCAGCCAATCAGGGTCCTTCTGGAGGTGGCGGGACTTTCCACCACAGACATTAACAAGGTACATCCTGTTTTTTATTAATGCCTGATAATGTGTGTGTTTGTTTGTTTCCACTCCACTAGTACTCCTCCATCACAAGAGTACTAGTTTAAAATTGTCTTCTCTTCTTAATGCCTGATAATGTGTTTGTTTGTTTGTTTATTTCCATCATGAGAAGGCATTTTTAAACTAGTGCTAGTACGCCTGTGATGAGGCTGATAGTTTTTGTTATTGATAAAGTTCATGGTGGTGTTGATGTTTATGGTGTGAAAATAGTTGTTTTTGGTGTTGCTGATCAAATTGTTGTTGGTGTTGATATTGGTGATCAAGTATTTAATGATGTTGTTTTTCAAGGTGGTCCTCTGCGGCGGCTCAGCCCGGATCCCTCGCTTGCAGCAGATGATCAGGGAAATGTTTCCTGACGTAGAGCTACTGAGCTCGGCACCTCCTGATGAGGTCATCGCTGTGGGCGCAGCCCTGCAGGCGGGGTTGCTGGTTGGCCGGGACGGGCTGAGACCTGAAGAGGAGTCGGTCACTGTTGATGTTTCTGCCACTGACATCCTGTTGAAGGTGACCTGCTCAATGTTAATCCACACAATATTTGTATTTATTTATTGACTTGTCTGACTAATAAATCTTCTTTTTTTCTTAAGTTTTTTAATCTCCTGATCTCAGCCTGTGTAAAGTCTTTATGATCTCTTTATTTCTTTTTTTGTTACTTTGTTTTGTTTGTATCTCGGGGGCTGCAGGAGCTCAATGAATCTGGAGCAGAGTTGTTCACTGTGCTCCTCCCCGCGGGTACGCCCCTTCCTGCACGCAGACATCATGTCCTGAGAGGAGGGGGGACGCTGTCCTCCCTCTGTGTGGGGATCTACCAGAGATTAGTCTCCATGCAGCCAGAGAAGCTTGCTCAGGTACACACACCTACACATAAAAAGACACTGTCACTGAGGTACAAAAACAGATGAAGGCAGATCACATTATGAAGTGGGAGTGATGCACAGACCACATTATGAAGTGGGAGTGATGCAGAGATCACGTTATGAAGTGGGAGTGATGCAGAGATCACATTACGAAGTGGGAGTGATGCAGAGATCACATTATGAAATGGGAGTGATGCACAGACCACATTATTGTCCTCTACGGGCGCTGAGAGTCGGCAGCCTGTTGCAGCAGCTCTCTTTTCTTTATTTTGTCTATTTTCTTGCTTTTATTAAGTATTTTTGCACTGTTTCTGTGTTTATTGTTGGACACTGCTGCAGCGTTTTAGTTGGGGTATTACTCGTGGAATTACGTGTTTCTTTCGGGACTCTTTTTTTCTACTGTTGGAATGATCACGTACACTCGTGAGGAACTACTGAGCTACAGGCATGGAGCCGGTGTTCCTCCTACACGCATCCCTGAGGAGTTATGGAGAGGTGTCCGCCGGGGGAAGAAAGCCAGCGCTAAAGTCAGGGAGCGGATTGAGAGAGACAAGTAATTTAAACCCTTTCTACCGTCGGTCATCATGGGGAACGTTAGGTCACTCGCCAACAAAGCGGACGAATTTACAGCTTTAGTAAGTAGTAGTTTACTTTGCTTCACGGAGACATGGCTACATGGGAATATACCGGACAGTCACATCGATCTGGCCGAGCGGACAGGGGGATAGGGGGAGACAGAGCGGTAAGAAGAGAGGGGAGGTCTTGCTGTCTTTATTAACTCTAAATGGTGTAATCCCGGACATATCACTGTGAAGGACTGTGTCTATACCCCAGACGTTGAAATGCTGGCGGTGGGATTATGCCCGTACTATCTGCCATGGGAGTTCTCACATGCCGTTGCTGTTTTCGTCCCACCATCAGCTGTAGCCGCTAGCGCGAGTGACATCATCCACACTGATCGCGGGACTACAAACCCAGCATCCCAGCGCCCTCATACTGATCAGCGGGGCCTTTAATCATGTCTCTCTCTCCCCTGTCCTGACAAACTTTAAACAGTATGTGCACTGTGCTACAAGAGGGAATAAAACCCTGGACCTCCTGTATGCCAATGTGAAGGGAGCATACAGCTCTTCTTCCCTCCCCCCTCTTGGGGAATCAGACCACAACCTCATCCACTTTGAGACCACCTACAGGCCCCTGGTGAAGCAGCAGGGGGCCAACACAAGGACTTTGAAGGTTTGGTCTAAGGATACAGAGGAGGCCCTGCAGGAGTGCTTCAATGTCACAGACTGGGAACTGTTTAAGGAGGAATATGGTGATGACATTGAAGGCCTCTCTCACTGTATTACAGACTACATCCGTTTCTGAGGACACCATAGTCCCTACCAAAACGGTCTGCTGCTTCTCAAATAACAAACCATGGATCAATAAAGACATTAAAGCTCTCCTCAACAGAAAGAAGGAGGACCTTCATGACTAGGGATCGGGAGGAGCTCAAGGCTGTCCAAAAGGAGTTAAAGAAGAAGCTGAGAGAGGCCAAGAACAACTACAAGGACAGGATTGAGGCCAAGATGGGACAGAACAACTCAAAGAAGGTGTGGAATGGCATGAAGCAGATGAAGGGCTGCAGCAGGCCAGAACCCAGAATTAAAGGAGACCCAGTATTTGCTGCTGAGTTGAACCTATTTTTCAATAGGTTTGACACATCCCCCGACCCAGTGAGCTCAAATACTGGGTCTAGGTCTCCCCCCACCACCTCAGCCCCCATTTACACCTCTGTTGGAGGCTCTGCTCTTCCTCCCATCAAGGTCCTGACCACCTCCCCCCCACCTCTCTTAGCTCCTCATCAGCAGCTTCACAGGACAGCCCACCCTCACCCCCCGCCCCCTCCCTTCAGGTACCTGCATGACAATAGACAGTTATCCACACCCCTCCCCCGCTCACTGTCCCACTCTCATTCTTACTACCAGCCAGGTACAAAGAGAACTCTCCAGACTCCACATCAGAAAAGCCAGTGGACCAGACAACATCAGTCCCAGGATCCTCAAGGTGTGTGCTGGGCAGCTTGCAGGAGTCTTTCAGCACCTCTTCAACTTCTCCCTGAGGCTGACCTGTGGAAGACCTCCTGCATCGTCCCAATTCCAAGAGATCGTCCCAACGCTATCAATGACTACAGACTTATGTCACTCACGTCACATGTCATGAAGACATTTGAGAGGCTGGTTCTCCAGCACCTGAGGACCCTGCTCACTGCTTTCCAGGATCCGTTGCAGTTTGCATACCAGAGGCACATTGGTGTGGAGGATGCTATCATCTTCCTGACCCACAAAGCCCTGTCACACCTGGAGACGAAGGAAAGCACTTGTGAGAGTCATGTTCTTTGACTTCTCCAGTGCTTTCAATACCATCCAGCCCTGCCTCCTGAGGGACAAACTGCTGGATATGCAGCTGTACCCTGACATCTCCGCCTGGATCTTCAACTACCTCACGGGCCGACGAGTCGATGGGTGGGTATCTGATGTAGTGACGGGCAACACAGGAGTACCTCAAGGAACTGTTCTGGTGCCTTTTCTCTTCACTCTCTTCACATCAGACTTCAGGTTTAACTCTGGTTCCTGCCACCTCCAAAAGTTTTCCGACGACTCCTCCATTGTTGGGTGCATCACTGATGACGACGAGAAGGAGTACAGAGGACTGTTAGAGAGCTTCGTCACATGGTGCGAAAGCAACCACCTGAAGTTCAACATCAGCAAAACAAAGGAGGTGGTAGTGGACTACCGGAAGAAGAAGAGGCCCCCTGCCCTAGTCATCATCCAGGGGGAGGAAGTGGAGAGGGTGGACTCATACAAGTACCTTGGGGTCCACATCAACAATAAACTGGATTGGTCTCACAACTCTGACGCTCTCTTCAGGAAGGGACAGAGCAGGATGTTCTTCCTGAGGAGACTCAGATCGTTCAGTGTCTGCAACAGACTCCTGAAGACCTTCTACCAGTCTGTGGTGGCCAGTGCCCTCTTCTTTGCTGTGGCGTGCTGGTGGGGTGGTATCAAGACTGGTGAGGCAAACAGGCTGAACAAGCTGGTAAGGAAGGCCCGCTCTGTATTGGGTCTTGATCTGGACAGTTTGGAGACAGTGGGTGAGAGGAGGATGAAGGACAAAATCTTATCCATCCTGGATAACTCCTCTCACCCTCTACATGGTGAGCTGTGGCAGATGGGCAGCTCCTTCAGCCAACGCCTCATCTCATTTAATCACTTGTCACTTTATCTTGTCATTCTCTGCAAATACTGTCTAAATTCTCAATTACCCCCAGTTAACTTCATCATTCATTTTGTACTGTATATACCCCCTGTTTTTATTTTTATTTATATTTATCTTATCTATTCTGTTTAATGTGTATTTGAGCTTTCTTGTCTGTGCTGCTGTAACGCCCGAATTTCCCCAATGGGGATCAATAAAGTACTATCCTATCCTATCCTGTTATGAAGTGGGAGTGATGTTTTAAGTAGGTGTGAACAATGTAAATATATGGAGAAAAATATTTAGGATTTAAAACAGATCTTGTAATCTGTTTGTGTTTAATGTTCAGATTATCCTGAGAGACCTGCAGCCGTCAGAGGAACACAACGTGGACACTGTGCTCACCATGAAGAGGTAACACACTCACATACACATATATTATATATATATGCACATGCACACACACAGAATTACACTAAATGCACACACCATCCACCTGGCCCTGATGAAGTGTGTGTGTGTGGTTTTTTGTTTTTCAGGGACGGCTCACTGCATGTGTCCTGTGTGGATCAGAGCAGTGGGAGGTCAGAGGTGGTCACTGTTGCAGCTGCTTCATGAAGCTGATTGGCTGTCAGTAAAAGTTCATTTTTTTTAAATCAATAAATGTGATCACAAACAAACTGTGTGTATTATTTCTATGTGTTTGTTCATTCATGGATACTGTACACACACACAAACCTTTACTGCTTATCTGCAGAAACAGAAGAAGGTCATAGCCCGGAATCACTGACACACCCTTGCACTGGTTTACATTCTTTCTCTCCGGTCGCAAATCCCAGCCATTTCCAGTCACTACTGGTGTTCCTCAGGGTTCTGTTTTGGGTCCCCTTCTGTTCATCATCTAGCTCCTTCATCTTGGCCATATCTTCCATAAATATAATATCCAGTTCCATTGCTATGTGTATGACACCCAGCTCTATCTGTCCAACAAACCCACCGCCTCCCTCCCGCCCACTTCCCTGACTGATTGCCTTCAAGAAATCAAATCCTGGGGCGCACTGGTGGCACAATGGTTAGGGCACGCGCCCCATGTATTGAGCTGTCATCTCAGGACCAGGTTCGCATCCTGCTCGTGGCCTCCCTCCACATGCCATTCCCCACTCCCTGGCCTCCAACTCTATCCACTGTCCTATCTCTCTGCATTAAAGGCACAAAAGCCCAAAAAGAAATCAAATCCTGGTTCTCCTGCAACTTCCTCGTATTAAACTGTGTCAAAACCGAGATTCTCCTTATCCGCACCAAATCGACAATTTGACATCTTGAGTTTTTTGCTATTGATCACTCCCAAGTTTCTCCCTCCCCTCAGGTTAAGAGTCTGGGTGTCATCCTTGACAGCACGCTATCATTCCAAGCTCACATCAATAATGTCTCTCAGTCTGCTTATTTTCATCTACGTCACATTAATCGCCTCTGCCCGTCCCTCACATCCAACAGTACCGTCATCCTCATTCCCGCCCTGGTTACAGCCCGCATTGACTCCTGCAGCTCTCTTCTCTTTGCTCTGCCTCTCGAGTCCATCCACAAACTTCAACTGGTCCAGAACCCTGCTGCTCTCATCATCTCCGGAATCCCCCGTTAATCCCATCCCTCTTGTCCTTCAGCAGCTTTATTGACTTTCGGTTAAATATCGTATCGACTTCAAAATTTTGCTCCTCACCTTTAAGGCCATCCACAACCTCGCTCCGCCTTACCTCTCTGAACTGCACATCAACACACCCACACTCTCAGGTCTTCTTCCATTCACCTCACTGCACCACCTTCCCACCTGTCCACCATGGGGTCCAGGACCTTCAGCTGTAATATTGACTCACTCTCCATGTTTTAATTTCATCTCAAAACACGTCTGGCATATTCAGTCTGATAAGTGTCCATCCTTTGTCATGAATCCTCTACACAATGATTTCATACATCTTGTAAATTTGTCTTTTAATTGTTCATTTTATCAATGTATTCTTAATTTGTTGTTTTATCTCTGCTTTGTAAGGTGACTTTAAATAAAAATTTAAAAAATATATATTTTTGTGTGTGTGAAGAAATACATGAAACCATTGTTTTAAGTTTTTTTTGTTTTACTGTATTTGATTTTTTTCACACAGGAGTCACATCATGTAGTACTCTGTCCTGTCCACAGGGGGGCATAGTCTCTAAACACAAATGTGTCTGAATGTCTCTGCAGTTAAAAAAACGACTTATTTCTATCTGAAGCTCTTCCTGCGTGTTGACGGTTCATCGAGTCAAACAGATCTCACAGTTTTTCAGCAGCCGTGCTCTGGAACGATGCGACACTTCAGGATCTTCAGGTAGTTCTGCACCTTGTTGGAGTCTCTGCGAAAACAGTATAGAAGGTCGTAGTCCTTCATCAGACGCCACTTGTGACCATTGGCTGGCAGAGGAGCTTCAGGAGAGGCCAGACTACTGACGGAGTTACTGATGATCCCCAACATCTGCATCTGAATCGGACACAAACCAATCATGATCAACATGTTTGAACACCTCCTAAATGCACCTTTTGTTTTCCTAAAGATACAAACTAAAGGTTTGTTTTCTGTTGAGATTCTCAACATCCTCCTCAATGAAAATATTTGACAACAGACCAGAATAAAATGTCTGATTCACGTCATGTTTCTGATTTGTTTGAGGACTTCATGATAACCGTTTTGAGTCGGTCATCGGACGGTCACATCAGGACTTTGTTTCAAGCTCATTTTTAGACATTACACAACCTGACGAGATCAGCTGGAAGCTTTGTGACTCAGCACCTTTGAACGTCTGCAGCAAAGTACGAAACAGATTTATCTGAGTAAGAATGTTAACTTCCCGGAATCTGTTTTAACTTCAGCTCCGAACTGTGTTTAACACCTAATGAGAAGAAATAATTGACACTATTTACTCTTATTACCTTCTCAGCCACCTTCTCTACACCTTTGCGTAGCTCATGCGCCATGTCGCTCATCTCCAGAGCTTTGTTGGAGCTGAATTTGTTGAAGTCGGGATGGTGAGCCATACTCTGGTGGAAGTGCCACAGAGGATCCCTCCAGGCCAGCAGCAGCTTCAGAATCACCTCCGTCAGCTCCTGTCTCTGCAGAGTGGACAGAAGGGGCGGGACTTTGTTAAAATACAATTTAAATACATTCTCAAACTCACCACAGAAGATTAAAATATATTTGAACTTAAACAAGTTTGAAGTTATTGTGCTTGGCCATAAACACTCCAGCCTTGGCCCCAAGCATTTCTAATATAACTGTCCTTAATGACATCAGCCTGGCATCCAACACCACTGTTCATCAAGATATGTCCTTTAGCGCTCACAAAACAATCAAGGACAACCTATTTTCACCTTTACCTGCTAGTGGTACCTACAGTCTGTAAATGTACAGTGGGAGGTAGAGCCTTCAGTTATCAGACCCCTCTCCTTTGGAATCATTTACCAGTCAGGGTCCATGAGGCAGACACTCTCTACCACTATGAGTAAGCTTCAAACTTTCCTTTTTGATAAAGCTTATAGTTAGAGCTGGCTCAGACACGCTCCTAGTTATGCTGCTATAGGCTTAATGGCTGTTTCCACAGGAATACGTGTATGCAGTGTTTGTCTCCACCACGATTTTGTTCTGTCTGACAGTGCATGCCCTGCCAAACTGGGTCTGTTTGTGGAGTGCAGCCACAAGTAGCTGGACTCATGGGTTCACAAGACACAGGAGAACCATAGGATTAAGCAGGAATAAATAAAACAATGTGCAACCACACTACTTTGTCTTTTTCCTAGGTAGATTAGCTGTTCATTTAGTGCCTGTTTTTACATAATGTTGATAAAGTTATGGGATATACGATCGGGAGTCTTTACATTGTGTTTTATTTTGAAATTGAACGGATGCTCATGCATTCCCTTGTCTGACTTCCTGTCTGGGTCAATTTTCTCTGTTCAGTTTGACGCATGCTTGCAGCATGCTCCGTCAGTAATAAACTATGGAACAGAGAAGAGCGGAGTGGTGCTGCTGACAGATGCAGGAAGCTGACAGCTGAAGCTGCAGCGGATACAGGAGTATTGACCAGAGAGGGCGCCATTAGCTAGGGTTAGGTTAGGTAAAAGCGGAGTGCTCCTGTAGTTTGAAAGGAGCACGGGCACTTGGGGGACAATGGGTATTAAAAAATACTTAAAAAGGTGAGATAATACCAAACCAATCAGTCTGCGTTAAGATTGACTCACCGCCATCCTCTGAGCGTTCTCTTTTCCATTGGGGGTTAATATGGTGGAGGTGTGACAGTTACGACTGACCCGGCCGATCTGATTCTTACTAGGCAGGAAGTACTGCTCCTATGAGGACAAACAGGAAGGCAAGAATGAAATGTCAGAGGTCAGCTGAACACCAGCTAAGGCCACAGCACAGAAGTGAAGAACCTAACCATAAGAATGTCCTGATACTGAAAATCATGAAAATAATAAAATATCTTTGACCAATCGTGGTTTTCGGACAGACTCACAAACTCTGAGTGTAGGTCATTGGAGATGCCATGCATCCTGGCAGAGTGTTGGATTACTCGATCAAACAGGTCGGACAAGGAGAGGATGTGACAGCCATTCTGACCGTTCATACAGAGAGGAGCCGAACACACACCGCTCAAACTACTGCAGAGCAACACACAGACCACCTCCACCCAAACTACAGAGAGAGAGAGATCAATCAGACAATCATTAATAAAAGGGAAGGCATTAAAAACAGAGAGAACGGACATCCAGATCAATAAGAAAGTAATTATTATCAATGAAGAGTTCATTATTATTTATGGTAAAAATGAATCCACCTGAATCATCTCTACAGAATCTGATTAAACAGACGTCAGTTTCTACTTTAATATGTTTTTTTTTTTATGTTAGGGTCTAAAACTAAGGAACTGAGACAAAGTCATGGTGAGGGATGATTGGGAAGAAAGTAGGACGATCGGATGAGTGGACGATAGGATGAGAAGACAATAGGATGGGAGGATGACAAGAGGAGAGGACGATAGGATGAGAGGACGACAGGAGGAGAGGACGACAGGAGGAGAGGACGATAGGATGAGAGGACGACAGGACGACAGGAGGAGAGGACGATAGGATGAGAGGAGGACAGGATGAGAGGACGACAGGAGGACAATAGGATGAGAGGACGATAGGAGTAGAGGAACACAGAAGGACAGGATGAGAGGATGACTGAAGGACAGGATGAGAGGACGATTGGAGGACAAGATGAGAGGACGACAGGATGAGAGGACGATAGGATGAGAGGACGATAGGGTGAGAGGAAGACAGGATGAGAGGACAATGAGAGGACGAGAGGACGACAGGATGAGAGGACGATGAGAGGACGACAGGATGAGAGGACGATAGGAGGACAGGAGGAGAGGACGATGAGAGGATGACAGGATGAGAGGACGATAGGAGAACAGGATGAGAGGACTATAGGATGAGAGAACGACAGGATGAGAGGACGATGAGAGGACGACAGGATGAAAGGACGATAGGAGGACAGGAGGAGAGGATAATAGGATGAGAGGACGACAGAGTAGAGGAACACAGAAGGACAGGATGAGAGGACGATAGGAGGACGATAGGAGGACAGGATGAGAGGACGATAGGATGAGA